CTGTTCGAGGCTAAAGTGCTCAGGATAATTGTGTGTTCACCTACCCCCTGTCTCCGCCCTCTTACTGCTGCTAGTTAAAAAACATTCACACTCCAGGTCGTACATGTTGGGTTCAAAAATGCTCCACTTTTCATTTATTGTTCATTGTTTGATTTTGCACCACATTGTCAAAGAAAATTCCCAGATTAGTAATTTTCAAACAAAGCATCTTTATCATTTTTGAGGAATGACACACATGATATTGGGTAAATGCAGTGTCGTCACATCATCTCAGAACTGTTTCATTGTGCATCTTTCTATTTCCTCATCACAAACAGACTTGGAGTTGTGTTTTGCTTCATTCACACATGTTCAACGCACAAATCCTGCACTTTTAGTTCTTCTCTTAAACTGAAAACACGTTCCACCTTGTGATGTCATCTGGTAATACGTACTTTTTTTTTTTTTTTTTCTTTACCAGAATCATTTGGATAATTTCATCCTTGGAATTGCCAATCTCTACTGAACTAAAGGCAGCTGTTAACTTCATGACATCACAAGATGGAACAGAGCATTTTGATTTTTGGAGATATACACAGACTAGTAGTAAAGGATTACCGTATTTTTCAGACTATAAGTCACTCCAGAGTATAAGTCGCACTTTTTGGAGAAATGTATTTTATAAAATCAGAGACCAGGAAATGACATTTCATCATGAAAGTCAAGTTGTAGTAATAACAATAGAAGAGAGAACAACAGACTGTTAACGTCACATATTTCACAGTTCTTCAGATAAACTATAACAAACAACAGAACAGAACAAGTTTACCAAACTCTCCATCTCACTCCAAATCACTAAATCCATTCAATTCTTCATCCTCGGTGTCACTTCTGAACAACTCCACGACCTCCGGAGGTAAACAGAGCGCCACTTCCTCTTGTGCGTAGGTGTCGTCCCGTCCCGACAGGATGGTTTCGGTGTAACTGAAGTCCAGGCTTTGTCCATCCATCCAATGACTTCCAAGGAAAGTTACACTGTGGACCCTCCCCATTACCGTGAAGCTGTGTTCTCCATCCTCGCTTTCCACCAGTCCTTCACAAGTTTCTCGCTGACACCAGACTTTCTTTCTGCTGCTCGATTATTGTTTTTGGCTGCATATTTTACTATTTGCAGCAGGACAGCCACAGTAGAGCCAAATGACAGTGGTACAGGAGTAATAGGAGCAGCAGATACTGACACACAAACCTAGGGCGCCCTCTAGTGGCTGTCAGTATGACAGTTTTTATATATAAGTCACAGCAAACACCCAAACCATGAAAAAAGTGTGACTTATAGTCCGAAAAATACGGTAGTCAAATCAGCAGTTTGCATTTCTGACACTTTTTAGTTTGAGGTGGTCACCCTTGTTTATGTTTGTATCTGAACTTGTATGAAATAAATGTCTGTTCAGTAATAATAATAATAATAATACATTTTATTTATATTGCACTTTACATAAAATAATCTCAAAGTGCTACAGGTAAAAAAAGTATTGTTTTACTGTAAAGACCACTCCAAGTTTTTGTTTTTTTTTAGAAATTCTTTTTAGTTTCACAAAAGTAGTGACTCAAATGGTGAATCAAATGTTAAAATGTTTTTATCTCTTCTTTAAGAATCTGTATTTGCACATATTTTGGATGATACAATTCTGAAATCATAGGCCTAAATGTGCCAAAATAAAAAAAAAAATGCACAATGTAAATATGATGTACACATTTTGTTAAAGTTATTCATGGTCAATTGTAATGATTATTTGATGTAATTTTAAATAAAAATAATGACACTGCAAATGTAATGTGTGTGAACAATCTTTATTTGAGTTTGAGGTGTTTCCTTTGCACCTGCGGAATAAAGAGACAGAATGTTGGTCAGTAAAAGAAATTAAAAATACTTTCAAATCTTTCAGGATGTAAGTCTAGGGACAGTCTCATGAGCTTCTGAAATTGGTCGTTAGGGAGAAAAAGCTGAGGAAACTACATTGACCATGATCCTTTGCTCCAACATTACATAATACAACATATAGTACTAGTCTGCTTAATCTTGAATATAGTAGTATTGACACTAGTTTAAGTGTATTTACTGCAGTACCTGTAGTATTGACACTAGTTTAAGTGTATTTACTGTAGTACCTGTAGTATTGTCAGTAGTTTAAGTGTATTTACTGTAGTACTTGTAGTATTGTCAGTAGTTTAAGTGTACTTCCAGTAGTACCTGTAGTATTTTGAGTAGTATCTGTAGTAGTATTTGGAGTAGTATTTGTCGGTCAGTTGCAGGTGTAGGCGTACTCCAGATACAGAGATGTGTTTGCGCAGCTCTCCTCCACCACCATCTCTGCCGCTCGCACTTTACAACGGTTCTTCCCATCGCACCTGGAGACCAAACATGTCCTGGTTTAGATCCGTCTTAGACCTGCCGTAGTCCTGGTTTAGACTGGGTTTAGACTGGGTTTAGACCTGCTGTAGTCCTCATTTAAACCTGATTTAGTCCTGATTTAGTTCTGGTTTAGACCTAATTTAGAATTTGTTTAAAACTGGTGTAGTCCTGGTTTAGTCCTAGAGTAGTCCTTTAGTAGTCCTGGTTTAGTCCTGGTTTAGTCCTGCAAGGTTTAGTCTTCATTTAGTTCTATAATTTTCCTTATTGCACCCGAATCCAGATTAAGACCTGGACTTAAACCTGGTTTTGATCTGGTTTAATCCTAGAAGTGAGTTAGTCCCAGTTTCAGTCCTGGTATAGTCCTGGTTTAGTCCTTGTATAGTCCTGGTTTAGTCCTGGTTTAGTCCTGGTTTAGTCCTCATTTAATCCAGGTTTAGTCCTGATATAGACCTGGTTTAATCCTGGTTTAGTCCTGATATAGTCCTAGTTTAGTCCTGGTATAGTCTTGGTTTAGTCTTGGTGTAGTCCTGGCGTAGTCATTGTTTAGTAATGGTTTAGTCCTGGTTTAGTCCTAGTAGTGCTGGTTTAGTTCTGTTTTCTGTATTGCACCTGAGCAGGAAAACAGGTAGGCTGCAAGTCCTGGTTTAGACCAGGTTTAGACCTGGTTTAGACCTGGTTTAGACCTGGTTTAGTTGTGTAACACCTGTGTCAGTAGACACAGTAGTAATAAGGTAATGAGTAATAAGTAGTATTGTTATGGGCTAGTGATCAGAAGACTAAGGATCGGCTCTAGGAGGGAGTGACAAGAGACTGAATTGTTTTTGATGATAGGTACCATATATTAAAGTGCAAATAGTAAACAGTAAATAGTGATTTGACATACAACATGAAATACGGACAGTGAATGGCCATTCAATTATTTACAATGTGCAGTTACAGTTCGGTAGCAGCAAATAGCACAATAGGTCATTGGATGCAAAAGTGTATATATACATATGAAGAGTTCAACGATCAAGAGTTCAACAAAGTTAGAGCAGCATTTGATTGCACAAATTATCATGAGAGTCCACAAGAAATCTAATGCCCAGCTCACACACAGTTTGTAAGTACCCACTGGGTTTTGACGGGGTATCCAGAGGGGAGAGTAAAGTATATAAAGTTCATGAAAGGGAGTGTGACATTCAGTGGGCAATAGGCGTGTGGGTGTGTTGGGAGAGTTTGTTGGGCTGCCAAGAACCCCCTACCGGCCCGGCAGGAGAGGTGCGACTCTGCAATACTTCTGTAGGCTCTGTAGGCTCTGTAGGCTCTGTAGGCTCTGTAGGCTCTGGCCTGCTCCTTTTAGCTCGCCATCGATACGTTAACAATCTGGCCTGGGCAATAGGACCAAGTTTAAGTTAATTAGTTGATACTTTACCAGTAAATATTCTTAGTGTGCACACAAACAAATTAAATAGCACTAGCTGTACTATTAGCAGTTCAATACATTGATTCAGACAATTGGAAAATGATACATGATAAATTGAATTCATAGTCTGTATGAATGTTAATAATGTCACTGAATAAAATAAATGCTTTTACAAAGCTATTTAAAGTTAGGAAGTGCTTAACCCAAGTACTCAGACAGCTACAACAGTGATTGGATAACACTGTTAGCAAGGGTACTTAAAAATGTATAATTCAGATAAATAAACAAATATGGGTTCATTCAACATAAACTTTACATCATAGGCTTTCAAATAGTCTCATTTTGTTGGTTATATTTGACAGAAACAGGCATAAAGTTCGGCAACCAAAAATGCTAACCGCGACCATAGAAATGAATGGGCGCGGCTAAGCTAGCGTTAGCATCACAACCAAACACTCACCAGTTTCCGCGGACTACGCCGTTCATATGCGCTTTTTGACGCGGGTTTGGACTCGGTAGAAGGCTCCTATGAATGCACAATATAAGCCATGGATTGTCACACGAAATGATAAGTTAAAAGCACGAGGATTACCCCAAACTGACCTGCAGCTCGACTCTCATCCAGCCCCCAACAGCACCTAACACGCACTGAATCTCAGCGGCATCATAAGCGCCCGCGATTGGCGCGCAGCGTCACGTGATTGAATGACGTCACCGAGAGCATGATGACGATTGGTCTGGCGGACCCACGTGATTTGGTGACGCGGAGATCCCGCGAGAACACGCCAAACACCGCGAGTTTTAACGTCCCATAGTGGGAGATAGGAGACACAGGTGTAGATGGAGAGAGAGAGAGAGAGATGTTTTGACAGGATTTAATCACCTGGGTTACACCCTCCCCCCTTAAAACCATGCAACTCCGGTGCATGTTAACTACACCGACAACGGGGCATATACGCGGTCAGACGCAGGGGTGTTAAATGCTTGACCGTAAGCATCTGCTAAGCTGTGGAAGAGAGTTTGCACGACCGAGATAAGCGGCTTGCCTAAAGTAGAATATTGTAAGCGTTGGGGTGGCTGTCGCTGTCTCGAGGAACGGCGGATAGACTGGTCAGTTTCAACGGTATCTCTAGCCTCGGAGTCTGTAATAGAGGTGAGTGTGCCACCAGAATCAGGTGGTGATGGTATTGCTGTATTGGGGGATGTCTCTGCTGGGCCTCCGAGCTGTGGATCTCCCTCAGAGGGCCTTGCATCAAGGACGACAGAGTCTTCAGGTTCAGGTAAGTATGCTTCTGGTTCTGTTTCCCTTTCTTCCTCAGGCTCTCCAGGGACAGGTTCCTCCTCCTCCTCACTGGATGAAGATGGATCCAAGGCTTCGGACGCTTCAGAGGACTCCCCGGCAACAGGTAGATTTCTTGCAGGTAAGTAAGTGGGTTCAGTAAGGACTGCATCACGACTGGTTGAGGATGTGATAGGAACGGTGTTTTCAACGTTGAACTTCACTGGCTGTGAAATTGAAACTCGAGGAGAAATCCACTCCTCTTCTTCACTCGAACATTCTTCTGGATCCACAACTGGTTTCTGTAGACTTCGGGTTTGAGGTCTGCGTGCAGTTGTAATGGGTGGCGGTTCAGGTTCTTGGCTTTCAGGTAAGAAACCACATGGAAGTAGGAGGTCACGATGGAGAGTTCGGGTACGTCCAGATGAATCAGTTTCAGGTCGCACAGTATAAACAGGGAGGTCACCAGCACGTTTGACAACAACGTAAATGTCCTTCTCCCATTTGTCTTCTAATTTGTGTTTGCCACGGAGTCGTACGTTCCGGACGAGTACTCGATCTCCTTCTTCCAAGGCGGATGGTTTGATGCGTTGATCAAAACGAGTTTTGTTTCGTTCGGCTGATTTTGCTGCATTTTTGGACGCAAGTTGGTAACTTTCTTCCAGGCGAGAGCGGAGATTCTGCACATACTGCGAGTGAGAGGTTAATGGTGCACCTCGAGCTGGAAGGCCAAAGGCGAGGTCGACAGGTAGCCTTGGAGAGCGTCCAAACATGAGCTTCGTAGGGAGTGTAGCCCGTTACTTCGTTTCTGGTACAGTTGTATGCGTGGACCAGCGGCTTTACATACTCCTTCCATCTTTTCTTCTGTTCGGGCTCCAGAGTACCCAACATGCTGAGCAGCGTTCGATTGAACCTCTCGACGGGGTTACCACGAGGATGGTATGGTGTGGTTCGGGTCTTCTCGATACCTGCAATGTCACAGAGTTCTTTGATTAGATGGGATTCGAAATCTGGCCCTTGATCGGTGTGCAGGCGTTCGGGGATGCCATAGTGCACGATGAAGTTCTCCCACAGACATTTAGCAACAGTCTTCGCCTTTTGGTTGGCAGTTGGAATGGCCACGGCGTATTTGGTGAAATGGTCTGTGAGAACGAGAATGTCTTTTGTGTTACTTCGATCGGGCTCAAGCGTGAGATAGTCCATGCACAGCAGTTCCAGGGGCCGACTGGTCTTGATGTTTATCAGAGGTGCAGCTCTTTCAGGAAGTGCTTTCCGTCGAATGCAGCGGTTGCATGTCTTAATCTTGGTGTCAACATCTGCTGCCATGCGTGGCCAGAAGAACCGGGATCTCACAAGGTCAAGCGTTCTTTCCACCCCCATGTGGCCCATATCATCATGGAGACTGGTAAGGACCACTGGGCGCAGCTCCTCTGGCAGCACGAGTTGGAAAGTTATATTTTCTCCATCTTGCCTTCTCCGGTATAGGAGATCATCTTGGAGTTCCAGACGGTTCAAGTCCCTCAGCAATAGGGCGACATCTGGCAACTCTGTCCGAACAGTCGGGGGGACTTTTTCACCAGTCTCAAGCTGGTAAATCACCTCTCGTAGACTGGGATCTGCTCTCTGCTTTTCTCTGAGGTCGAGGTGAGATAAAGATGGCACCACTGGTAATCCCTGGTGGGACTCGTTGGCGAAGTTGTCTGGGATGACGTTGACAGACATGCTTAGTGATTCCACCAGGGCAATGCAGCTCTCTGGGGGAGCTTCAGGACTTGAAGTTCTTAGCAGTGAGCTGTGACAAACGGCGGCCACCACATCTGGAGGAAGGTGGACTGGGTTGTCAGGGTCAACGTGGTCACGGGTGAACTGTTGGACCAGGTCCCATTCTTTTTGACTGTGGGCGTCAGCTGGCTGGAGATGTGGACGACGGGAGAGTGCGTCGGCATCCTTGTTCTGATTTCCTGCTCGGTACTGTAGCTTGAAATCGTATGTTGACAATGCAGCAAGCCACCTATGGCTGGCAGCATCAAGTTTAGCAGATGTCAGAATGTAAGTTAATGGGTTGTTATCAGTGATGACGGTGAACTTCGAGCCATAGAGGTAATCATGAAATTTCTCAGTTACACTCCATTTTAGAGCTAAGAATTCCAGTTTATGTGCCGGATATCTGGTTTCACTCGTGGACAGTCCCCGACTAGCGTATGCTATCACCCGTAGCTTTCCATCCTGCTCTTGATACAGTGCAGCTCCAAGACCTGTCGTGCTGGCATCTGTGTGCAGGATGTAAGGTTCCTTTGGATTTGCAAATCCAAGTACTGGGGCTGTTGTGAGTTGATCGATCAATGTTTCAAAGGAGTGTTGGCATTCTGTTGTCCACCGGTCATTAAATGGTTGTTTGGCGTCGAGGCAAGGCTTGGGAGAGGATTTACGGCTTTGGCGACGGGTTGGGGTGTACCCCCTAGTCAGATCGTTCAAGGGCTTGGCGATGGCGGCATAGCCATGGATAAATCTGCGGTAGTATCCCGCAAAGCCTAGGAAGGACCTCAATTCCTTGAGGGTCCGCGGAACTGGCCAGGACTTCAGGGCATTGATCTTCTCGGGGTCTGTCTCCACACCCTGCTCCGAGACGATATGGCCGAGATAGCGCACAGAGGTTTGGAAGAACTTGCACTTCTCTGGTGACAATTTGAGGCCATAGTTTTTCAAGCGCTGGAGTACTCTCAACAGACGACTTTCGTGTTCTTCGAGGGTGTTGGAGAAAATAATCAGATCGTCAAGGAAGACAAGAACTTCTTTTAGATGTAGGTCGCCCATACACCTCTCCATAAGCCTTTGGAAAGTGCTCGGTGCGTTGGTTACGCCCTGTGGCATCCGGTTGAATTCCCAAAAGCCTAGCGGAGTCACGAATGCTGTTTTGGGTTTATCAGCCTCTGCCATTTCGATTTGGTAATATCCTGACTTCAGATCGAGGACGCTGAACCAACGTGAACCAGTGAGAGCTGAGAAGGATTCTTCCAGGTTTGGTAGTGCGTACGCGTCCTTGATGGTGTGGAGGTTGAGTTTCCGGTAATCAATACACAGCCTCACGTCTCCGTTCTTCTTCCGGACGACCACGATTGGTGATGAAAAGGGGGACTCCGACTCACGTATTACCCCTGTCTCCAACAGGTCCCGCAGATGGTCACGGACTGCCTCGATGTCACGAGGGTGGATGGGACGAGCTCGGTGTTTGAAGGGAGTGTCGTCATGGAGGCGGATGTGATGTCTGACACGGTCGGTGCGTCCGAAGTCCAAGTCGTGGTGGGAGAAAACGTCAGGGATTTGTTCAAGCTTGGAGATGATTCTGGCTTTCCACTCTGGAGGAATTGGAGAGTCTCCAAAGTCAAACTCCAACTTGACTTCTTTTGGCTGTGTATTAGTGGAAACGGAGTGTGATAGGATCTGGGGTGACATTGTGAGTTCAGAGATGACACTCAGTGGCTGGAGTGTGATGGTCTGTTTTGATTCATTGGTGATGAAGATTGGAATCTTGTGTGAAGAGTGGCTGGGCAGTGTTACTAGGCAGCTTTTTACACAGAGGCCTCCAGGCAGTGGCGTGGCTGGTTGTTCGATTAGAGCATATTTGCAGACAGGTGGTGGACTGGCATGGATGGACCCTTCAACAACCAGGGTGTGGCCTGCTGGAATTTGGACTGGGGATTTACTGGCCAATCGCACAACACCATCGCTGGCTCTTTGGGTCTGCTGGTGCCGCAGCTGGAGTAACTGTATGACTGCTCTGTAGCCGTGCTGAGATGGTTGGTAGCTGGCACATTCACTCTCCAGGCGCTGTTCATACAACAATGGCTCCAGGGTGTTCATCCCAATTAGGACTGGGGAGTAGAATCCGGGTTTGACATCCGGGACTACCAGCGCCAGGGTGCATACGTCCAAGTCTTCACCAATGAACTCTTTTGGGAAGGTGATTGTCATTTCGATATAGCCCAGATATGGAACTTCTTGTCCGGCGGCTCCTTCTACTTGTAACAACTCACACAATGGCTTCACGGGTTGATGTGAGAAATGTTGATTGTAGACAGAAATGGGTATGGTGGTTACTTGAGATCCGGTGTCCAGTAAGCAGTGGAAATCTTGTCCAGCAATGGTTACTTGGCCTGTGCATTTGGATCCGATTAAGCCTCTAGGCAGACGGGTGGTTTCTGTTGATGTGACATGTGACTTGGTGTTGCATTTCACTCGTGGTTGCTTTGTGGGACGTGGTTGGTCCTCAACAGCTCCTGTTTGCCCCTCAACAGGAACTTGCACTAGTTTAAAGATGAGTTATTGTAAGGTTTGGATTGCTGCCATTTTTTCTGTTTCTCCAAGTACTGCTTCTTTTTCATGGCTACAAGTGCTGGGTTGGGTTCATTATCACAATGTGTCTTTATGTGTCCGTCTTCACCACAGTTGTAACAGTAGCCTGGCTTTGGACCTGCAGTTGGAGATTTGTGGGAGGAACGGTATTGTTTGCTGGATTTCAAGCTTTCACCAAGTTTGCTGACGTGAGTGGGTTTGGACGGAGGAGGCTGCTTCTGGCCGGACTGGGCAGCAGTGAGGGACGCCAACTGCTTTTGTATGTCTGCTAGCTGTTGGGCGAGCTGCTGTGTGATGGTAGTCAGTGCATCGACTTTGGATTCTTCAGATGTAGCATGAGCGTATTGGGCATGCGCTCCGGCTCTGGCTTTTGAGCCGAGGTGCTGCTTCATACGTTGGGTCTTAGCGGCCTCTCTGTCTTCTTCAGTTCGTAGTAACAGTAAAAACTCAGCAAAGGATGGTGGGTGGGATTTGCGTTGTTTTAATTGGAGTTCTGATATGAGTGTGTTGTCCCAGCAGCCCCGACAAAACTGATTGAGTAGATGGCGATCTAAATCTGTGGCTGAGACCCCTCCTCTCTTCAAAGTTAAGTTGAGCGCAACCTGCAAGCGTTGCAAGTATGCAGAGGGCTTCTCACCAGCGTCTTGAAACATTTCCATGAATTTGGCATACAGTTCATCACCATCTTGGACGGTTCCGTAAGCAGAGTCGAGGATCTGGAGGTAAGTTTTTGGTGGTGTTTCGGGTTTTAAATGCTTTCACCATATCTGCTGCTGGCGGAAGGAGACTTTCGACAATTTTTCTTGAGCGTTGTAGATCTGAAACTGCTGGATCTCGTAGCAGTAGGTCGACACCAGAACGCCAAGTTTCAAAGTCGGTTTCGTGTTGGGGTCTTGGAATGCGGCCGGAAAAGGATCGGAGCCTCTGAGAGGACAGGTGAGCTGTGCTGTCATCACTTTTTACAATGTGCTCAACGACGTACCGTTGGACCCCAGGTGGGTTCAGGTCAGGAAGAGACATAGCTGGAAGTGACGGTCTTGGCATGGATGTGTGTTGAGCAGCAGGATCTGGTGGTGTTTGGGGCTGTGGCAATTCCTCCTTTACATCTGGTATGGGGGCTGTTGCACCTGGTAGGCTGTAGGTGGCAGCATCGAGTTGGTCTGGAGGTGTGACCCCGGGTGGTGATGACATCACACTGGCACTCACTTCTGGCAGAGTCTTCACTGGTGGTGTTGGGCTAAGCTCGGTGATGGACTGGCCCAGCAGAGACATGACACCCTTGAGGACCTCCGCATAGCCCTGTCCTGTAATTTTAGCCAAATTTTTTAAGTCACTCAAGTAATTTTGTGTCTTGAGCTTACCTTCAAATTCAGAACACATGTTTGAGAGTTCACAAATGTCGTATGTAATTTTTTCGCTGTGACAGATGTAAGTGTATGGCAAAATTTTTCGCAGCTCAACTAGCGCGTTACCCGAATCAAACTCTACAATAATCATGTCAACAAAGACGCAATCCGGTTCAGTAATAATTTCAACTTTTGATGTTTTACCGTACTGGCTCAAAAACTCAACGACCTCCTCATCTGTTACTTGATTTGCAGTGTATTTGATCACAACCGAATTAGGGATCTTTATGCCATGTTTCGCCAAAATGTCCATGTTTGGGTACAAAATGTCAATTCACTATTTACGTATATAGGTTCAGCTCGGTCTAGACAGCCCTCCTGGCTAGCTCGCCACTAATTATGTAACACCTGTGTCAGTAGACACAGTAGTAATAAGGTAATGAGTAATAAGTAGTATTGTTATGGGCTAGTGATCAGAAGACTAAGGATCGGCTCTAGGAGGGAGTGACAAGAGACTGAATTGTTTTTGGTGATAGGTACCATATATTAAAGTGCAAATAGTAAACAGTAAATAGTGATTTGACATACAACATGAAATACGGACAGTGAATGGCCATTCAATTATTTACAACGTGCAGTTACAGTTCGGTAGCAGCAAATAGCACAATAGGTCATTGGATGCAAAAGTGTATATATACATATCAAGAGTTCAACGATCAAGAGTTCAGCGAAGTTAGAGCAGCATTTGATTGCACAAATTATCATGAGAAGTCCACAAAAAATCTAATGCCCAGCTCACACACAGTTTGTAAGTACCCACTGGGTTTTGACGGGGTATCCAGAGGGGAGAGTAAAGTATATAAAGTTCATGAAAGGGAGTGTGACATTCAGTGGGCAATAGGCGTGTGGGTGTGTTGGGAGAGTTTGTTGGGCTGCCAAGAACCCCCTACCGGCCCGGCAGGAGAGGTGCGACTCTGCAATACTTCTGTAGGTTCTGTAGGCTCTGTAGGCTCTGTAGGCTCTGTAGGCTCTGTAGGCTCGGGGCCTGCTCCTTTTAGCTCGCCATCGATACGTTAACAATCTGGCCTGGGCAATAGGACCAAGTTTAAATTAATTAGTTGATACTTTACCAGTAAATATTCTTAGTGTGCACACAAACAAATTAAATAGCACTAGCTGTACTATTAGCAGTTCAATACATTGATTCAGACAATAGGAAAATGATACATGATAAATTGAATTCATAGTCTGTATGAATGTTAATAATGTCACTGAATAAAATAAATGCTTTTACAAAGCTATTTAAAGTTAGGAAGTGCTTAACCCAAGTACTCAGACAGCTACAACAGTGATTGGGTAACACTGTTAGCAAGGGTACTTAAAAATGTATAATTCAGATAAATAAACAAATATGGGTTCATTCAACATAAACTTTACATCATAGGCTTTCAAATAGTCTCATTTTGTTGGTTATATTTGACAGAAACAGGCATAAAGTTCGGCAACCAAAAATGCTAACCGCGACCATAGAAATGAATGGGCGCGGCTAAGCTAGCGTTAGCATCACAACCAAACACTCACCAGTTTCCGCGGACTACGCCGTTCATATGCGCTTTTTGACGCGGGTTTGGACTCGGTAGAAGGCTCCTATGAATGCACAATATAAGCCATGGATTGTCACACGAAATGATAAGTTAAAAGCACGAGGATTACCCCAAACTGACCTGCAGCTCGACTCTCATCCAGCCCCCAACAGCACCTAACACGCACTGAATCTCAGCGGCATCATAAGCGCCCGCGATTGGCGCGCGCAGCGTCACGTGATTGAATGACGTCACCGAGAGCATGATGACGATTGGTCTGGCGGACCCACGTGATTTGGTGACGCGGAGATCCCGCGAGAACACGCCAAACACCGCGAGTTTTAACGTCCCATAGTGGGAGATAGGAGACACAGGTGTAGATGGAGAGAGAGAGATGTTTTGACAGGATTTAATCACCTGGGTTACACATGCTGTCGCGACGTCCGAATGTAAAAACATTTTTCATCGTAGTGAATAATTAGGATGCTCATAATTGTTTAGGAATAATTTTGGACCACTAAGGTGTTTACTAGTTTGTTTTTTTCCAAAATTTTTAAGCAAAAATCAGATACAGCCCCTTTGATGAAGACATATTATTATTTTGGTTAGTATATTATATTAAACTATAAAGTCTACCTCATAATTTTAAGTTTTGTTCATGTTTAACTTCAATATTGGTCTAAAATGGTTTAATAAAAGAAACTGTCTATTGACTTTCTGTTCAAAACTCCAAAACTGAGAGGCCCCATCACACAGTGGCACTTCACAATAACAAGCAACATATTTTAATTCTTGTTTTATAGTTGAAAAAGTGAGAAAGTAACAAAAGTAGGCGGAGAGAGGCAGCAGATGAAAACTGATGCTCTGAACACTCAAGCCTTGGATGCAAAACAGTGCAGGGCATGTATGAATCAATCGAAATGAACTCCACTCGTAAGTATGCAAAGGATGATGAACACCATTATAACATGGTTAAAAGTTCATAAAAGTCCATTTTACATAATATGTTCCCTCTGAGGTAAATTGGACTTCCACTGTGTTGGCTCTAATAAAACCAATATAATGAATAAAGCTGTTTCTCCTCAGGCGGGACACAGGGAATGGTCTGCTGATCGTTATAGCTTTGCATTAGTGGATACGTTTGAATTTAAGTGTAGGTTTTACAATAGAACAAATGGAACGCCTGACCGCTGTTTGGATGGATGGACATGCCCACCGGGTATTTTGAGCCTTTAAACACGATCATAACAGAGATGAAGGCATGATTTAAAAAGACTAGTGTGACAATCTGAAAACAAAGGTAGTAGGTGATGAGTATTTTTTTGTTTTTGTTTTTGCTATCAGGGCACAACACCATAGATATTTAATCATTATGAACAGCTACAATTATAAAAAGGTAAATAGCCACATTTACATAGTGTATTTCCAACCTTTAACTGGGTTTCAACGCTTCATTTAAAAGTTCTGTACTGTGCAATATTGATTCTTGTGAGCTTTAAGCCGTGTTATAATGTTGGAGTCGCCTAAAAACATATATGTTTAAGGAGGAACTATAGGGAAACTGTTTTGGGATTTTTTAAAATATATCCTACTGTTTGGTGACATGGATTCATAGTGAGAAATTAATGTAACGCACACAAGGCCTTAATACATGTTTCAGTCTTTCACATTTGCTTATTTGAACTCTTGTGCATTGGGCAAGTAGACAAATATGAAAAGTAAAAGGGATTAAATACATTTTTTTCACATACTCCCAACTTAATTAAATATGAAACCAGCAAGGTGGGGCTGGGAGATTATAGGGTACTATTATGGCCAGGATTTTAAAAAAAAAACAAAAAAAAAAAACTTAATTTGTGGATGCACAATGATAAAAATAATATTAAAAATTACAAGNCAGTAGGACTGCATCACGACTGGTTGAGGATGTGATAGGAACGGTGTTTTCAACGTTGAACTTCACTGGCTGTGAAATTGAAACTCGAGGAGAAATCCACTCCTCTTCTTCACTCGAACATTCTTCTGGATCCACAACTGGTTTCTGTAGACTTCGGGTTTGAGGTCTGCGTGCAGTTGTAATGGGTGGCGGTTCAGGTTCTTGGCTTTCAGGTAAGAAACCACATGGAAGTAGGAGGTCACGATGGAGAGTTCGGGTACGTCCAGATGAATCAGTTTCAGGTCGCACAGTATAAACAGGGAGGTCACCAGCACGTTTGACAACAACGTAAATGTCCTTCTCCCATTTGTCTTCTAATTTGTGTTTGCCACGGAGTCGTACGTTCCGGACGAGTACTCGATCTCCTTCTTCCAAGGCGGATGGTTTGATGCGTTGATCAAAACGAGTTTTGTTTCGTTCGGCTGATTTTGCTGCATTTTTGGACGCAAGTTGGTAACTTTCTTCCAGGCGAGAGCGGAGATTCTGCACATACTGCGAGTGAGAGGTTAATGGTGCACCTCGAGCTGGAAGGCCAAAGGCGAGGTCGACAGGTAGCCTTGGAGAGCGTCCAAACATGAGCTCGTAGGGAGTGTAGCCCGTTACTTCGTTTCTGGTACAGTTGTATGCGTGGACCAGCGGCTTTACATACTCCTTCCATCTTTTCTTCTGTTCGGGCTCCAGAGTACCCAACATGCTGAGCAGCGTTCGATTGAACCTCTCGACGGGGTTACCACGAGGATGGTATGGTGTGGTTCGGGTCTTCTCGATACCTGCAATGTCACAGAGTTCTTTGATTAGATGGGATTCGAAATCTGGCCCTTGATCGGTGTGCAGGCGTTCGGGGATGCCATAGTGCACGATGAAGTTCTCCCACAGACATTTAGCAACAGTCTTCGCCTTTTGGTTGGCAGTTGGAATGGCCACGGCGTATTTGGTGAAATGGTCTGTGAGAACGAGAATGTCTTTTGTGTTACTTCGATCGGGCTCAAGCGTGAGATAGTCCATGCACAGCAGTTCCAGGGGCCGACTGGTCTTGATGTTTATCAGAGGTGCAGCTCTTTCAGGAAGTGCTTTCCGTCGAATGCAGCGGTTGCATGTCTTAATCTTGGTGTCAACATCTGCTGCCATGCGTGGCCAGAAGAACCGGGATCTCACAAGGTCAAGCGTTCTTTCCACCCCCATGTGGCCCATATCATCATGGAGACTGGTAAGGACCACTGGGCGCAGCTCCTCTGGCAGCACGAGTTGGAAAGTTATATTTTCTCCATCTTGCCTTCTCCGGTATAGGAGATCATCTTGGAGTTCCAGACGGTTCAAGTCCCTCAGCAATAGGGCGACATCTGGCAACTCTGTCCGAACAGTCGGGGGGACTTTTTCACCAGTCTCAAGCTGGTAAATCACCTCTCGTAGACTGGGATCTGCTCTCTGCTTTTCTCTGAGGTCGAGGTGAGATAAAGATGGCACCACTGGTAATCCCTGGTGGGACTCGTTGGCGAAGTTGTCTGGGATGACGTTGACAGACATGCTTAGTGATTCCACCAGGGCAATGCAGCTCTCTGGGGGAGCTTCAGGACTTGAAGTTCTTAGCAGTGAGCTGTGACAAACGGCGGCCACCACATCTGGAGGAAGGTGGACTGGGTTGTCAGGGTCAACGTGGTCACGGGTGAACTGTTGGACCAGGTCCCATTCTTTTTGACTGTGGGCGTCAGCTGGCTGGAGATGTGGACGACGGGAGAGTGCGTCGGCATCCTTGTTCTGATTTCCTGCTCGGTACTGTAGCTTGAAATCGTATGTTGACAATGCAGCAAGCCACCTATGGCTGGCAGCATCAAGTTTAGCAGATGTCAGAATGTAAGTTAATGGGTTGTTATCAGTGATGACGGTGAACTTCGAGCCATAGAGGTAATCATGAAATTTCTCAGTTACACTCCATTTTAGAGCTAAGAATTCCAGTTTATGTGCCGGATATCTGGTTTCACTCGTGGACAGTCCCCGACTAGCGTATGCTATCACCCGTAGCTTTCCATCCTGCTCTTGATACAGTGCAGCTCCAAGACCTGTCGTGCTGGCATCTGTGTGCAGGATGTAAGGTTCCTTTGGATTTGCAAATCCAAGTACTGGGGCTGTTGTGAGTTGATCGATCAATGTTTCAAAGGAGTGTTGGCATTCTGTTGTCCACCGGTCATTAAATGGTTGTTTGGCGTCGAGGCAAGGCTTGGGAGAGGATTTACGGCTTTGGCGACGGGTTGGGGTGTACCCCCTAGTCAGATCGTTCAAGGGCTTGGCGATGGCGGCATAGCCATGGATAAATCTGCGGTAGTATCCCGCAAAGCCTAGGAAGGACCTCAATTCCTTGAGGGTCCGCGGAACTGGCCAGGACTTCAGGGCATTGATCTTCTCGGGGTCTGTCTCCACACCCTGCTCCGAGACGATATGGCCGAGATAGCGCACAGAGGTTTGGAAGAACTTGCACTTCTCTGGTGACAATTTGAGGCCATAGTTTTTCAAGCGCTGGAGTACTCTCAACAGACGACTTTCGTGTTCTTCGAGGGTGTTGGAGAAAATAATCAGATCGTCAAGGAAGACAAGAACTTCTTTTAGATGTAGGTCGCCCATACACCTCTCCATAAGCCTTTGGAAAGTGCTCGGTGCGTTGGTTACGCCCTGTGGCATCCGGTTGAATTCCCAAAAGCCTAGCGGAGTCACGAATGCTGTTTTGGGTTTATCAGCCTCTGCCATTTCGATTTGGTAATATCCTGACTTCAGATCGAGGACGCTGAACCAACGTGAACCAGTGAGAGCTGAGAAGGATTCTTCCAGGTTTGGTAGTGCGTACGCGTCCTTGATGGTGTGGAGGTTGAGTTTCCGGTAATCAATACACAGCCTCACGTCTCCGTTCTTCTTCCGGACGACCACGATTGGTGATGAAAAGGGGGACTCCGACTCACGTATTACCCCTGTCTCCAACAGGTCCCGCAGATGGTCACGGACTGCCTCGATGTCACGAGGGTGGATGGGACGAGCTCGGTGTTTGAAGGGAGTGTCGTCATGGAGGCGGATGTGATGTCTGACACGGTCGGTGCGTCCGAAGTCCAAGTCGTGGTGGGAGAAAACGTCAGGGATTTGTTCAAGCTTGGAGATGATTCTGGCTTTCCACTCTGGAGGAATTGGAGAGTCTCCAAAGTCAAACTCCAACTTGACTTCTTTTGGCTGTGTATTAGTGGAAACGGAGTGTGATAGGATCTGGGGTGACATTGTGAGTTCAGAGATGACACTCAGTGGCTGGAGTGTGATGGTCTGTTTTGATTCATTGGTGATGAAGATTGGAATCTTGTGTGAAGAGTGGCTGGGCAGTGTTACTAGGCAGCTTTTTACACAGAGGCCTCCAGGCAGTGGCGTGGCTGGTTGTTCGATTAGAGCATATTTGCAGACAGGTGGTGGACTGGCATGGATGGACCCTTCAACAACCAGGGTGTGGCCTGCTGGAATTTGGACTGGGGATTTACTGGCCAATCGCACAACACCATCGCTGGCTCTTTGGGTCTGCTGGTGCCGCAGCTGGAGTAACTGTATGACTGCTCTGTAGCCGTGCTGAGATGGTTGGTAGCTGGCACATTCACTCTCCAGGCGCTGTTCATACAATGGCTCCAGGGTGTTCATCCCAATTAGGACTGGGGAGTAGAATCCGGGTTTGACATCCGGGACTACCAGCGCCAGGGTGCATACGTCCAAGTCTTCACCAATGAACTCTTTTGGGAAGGTGATTGTCATTTCGATATAGCCCAGATATGGAACTTCTTGTCCGGCGGCTCCTTCTACTTGTAACAACTCACACAATGGCTTCACGGGTTGATGTGAGAAATGTTGATTGTAGACAGAAATGGGTATGGTGGTTACTTGAGATCCGGTGTCCAGTAAGCAGTGGAAATCTTGTCCAGCAATGGTTACTTGGCCTGTGCATTTGGATCCGATTAAGCCTCTAGGCAGACGGGTGGTTTCTGTTGATGTGACATGTGACTTGGTGTTGCATTTCACTCGTGGTTGCTTTGTGGGACGTGGTTGGTCCTCAACAGCTCCTGTTTGCCCCTCAACAGGAACTTGCACTAGTTTAAAGATGAGTTATTGTAAGGTTTGGATTGCTGCCATTTTTTCTGTTTCTCCAAGTACTGCTTCTTTTTCATGGCTACAAGTGCTGGGTTGGGTTCATTATCACAATGTGTCTTTATGTGTCCGTCTTCACCACAGTTGTAACAGTAGCCTGGCTTTGGACCTGCAGTTGGAGATTTGTGGGAGGAACGGTATTGTTTGCTGGATTTCAAGCTTTCACCAAGTTTGCTGACGTGAGTGGGTTTGGACGGAGGAGGCTGCTTCTGGCCGGACTGGGCAGCAGTGAGGGACGCCAACTGCTTTTGTATGTCTGCTAGCTGTTGGGCGAGCTGCTGTGTGATGGTAGTCAGTGCATCGACTTTGGATTCTTCAGATGTAGCATGAGCGTATTGGGCATGCGCTCCGGCTCTGGCTTTTGAGCCGAGGTGCTGCTTCATACGTTGGGTCTTAGCGGCCTCTCTGTCTTCTTCAGTTCGTAGTAACAGTAAAAACTCAGCAAAGGATGGTGGGTGGGATTTGCGTTGTTTTAATTGGAGTTCTGATATGAGTGTGTTGTCCCAGCAGCCCCGACAAAACTGATTGAGTAGATGGCGATCTAAATCTGTGGCTGAGACCCCTCCTCTCTTCAAAGTTAAGTTGAGCGCAACCTGCAAGCGTTGCAAGTATGCAGAGGGCTTCTCACCAGCGTCTTGAAACATTTCCATGAATTTGGCATACAGTTCATCACCATCTTGGACGGTTCCGTAAGCAGAGTCGAGGATCTGGAGGTAAGTTTTTGGTGGTGTTTCGGGTTTTAAATGCTTCACCATATCTGCTGCTGGCGGAAGGAGACTTTCGACAATTTTTCTTGAGCGTTGTAGATCTGAAACTGCTGGATCTCGTAGCAGTAGGTCGACACCAGAACGCCAAGTTTCAAAGTCGGTTTCGTGTTGGGGTCTTGGAATGCGGCCGGAAAAGGATCGGAGCCTCTGAGAGGACAGGTGAGCTGTGCTGTCATCACTTTTTACAATGTGCTCAACGACGTACCGTTGGACCCCAGGTGGGTTCAGGTCAGGAAGAGACATAGCTGGAAGTGACGGTCTTGGCATGGATGTGTGTTGAGCAGCAGGATCTGGTGGTGTTTGGGGCTGTGGCAATTCCTCCTTTACATCTGGTATGGGGGCTGTTGCACCTGGTAGGCTGTAGGTGGCAGCATCGAGTTGGTCTGGAGGTGTGACCCCGGGTGGTGATGACATCACACTGGCACTCACTTCTGGCAGAGTCTTCACTGGTGGTGTTGGGCTAAGCTCGGTGATGGACTGGCCCAGCAGAGACATGACACCCTTGAGGACCTCCGCATAGCCCTGTCCTGTAATTTTAGCCAAATTTTTTAAGTCACTCAAGTAATTTTGTGTCTTGAGCTTACCTTCATATTCAGAACACATGTTTGAGAGTTCACAAATGTCGTATGTAATTTTTTCGCTGTGACAGATGTAAGTGTATGGCAAAATTTTTCGCAGCTCAACTAGCGCGTTACCCGAATCAAACTCTACAATAATCATGTCAACAAAGACGCAATCCGGTTCAGTAATAATTTCAACTTTTGATGTTTTACCGTACTGGCTCAAAAACTCAACGACCTCCTCATCTGTTACTTGATTTGCAGTGTATTTGATCACAACCGAATTAGGGATCTTTATGCCATGTTTCGCCAAAATGTCCATGTTTGGGTACAAAATGTCAATTCACTATTTACGTATATAGGTTCAGCTCGGTCTAGACAGCCCTCCTGGCTGGCTCGCCACTAATTATGTAACACCTGTGTCAGTAGACACAGTAGTAATAAGGTAATGAGTAATAAGTAGTATTGTTATGGGCTAGTGATCAGAAGACTAAGGATCGGCCCGGCAGGAGAGGTGCGACTCTGCAATACTTCTGTAGGTTCTGTAGGCTCTGTAGGCTCGGGGCCTGCTCCTTTTAGCTCGCCATCGATACGTTAACAATCTGGCCAGTTTCCGCGGACTACGCCGTTCATATGCGCTTTTTGACGCGGGTTTGGACTCGGTAGAAGGCTCCTGCAGCTCGACTCTCATCCAGCCCCCAACAGCACCTAACACGCACTGAATCTCAGCGGCATCATAAGCGCCCGCGATTGGCGCGCAGCGTCACGTGATTGAATGACGTCACCGAGAGCATGATGACGATTGGTCTGGCGGACCCACGTGATTTGGTGACGCGGAGATCCCGCGAGAACACGCCAAACACCGCGAGTTTTAACGTCCCATAGTGGGAGATAGGAGACACAGGTGTAGATGGAGAGAGAGAGAGAGATGTTTTGACAGGATTTAATCACCTGGGGTTACACACCGCTCGGGTTCAGATCAGGGAGGCCGTTCCTCCCAATCACCCCTCTCCAAGTGTCCCTGTCGTTGCCCACGTGGGCGTTGAAGTCCCCCAGGAGAACAACGGAGTCCCCGGTCGGTGCACTGTCTAGTACCCCTCCCAAGGACTCCAAGAAGGCACTCAGCACTGCTGTTCGGCCCGTAGGCCGACACCACAGTGAGAGACCTGTCCCCGACCCGAAGGCGCAGGGACGCGACCCTCTCGTTCACCGGGGTGAACTCCAACACACAGCAGCTGAGCTGTGGGGCAATGAGCAAACCCACACCAGCCCGCCGCCGCTCCCCGCGGCCAACGCCAGAGAAATGGAGAGTCCAGCCCCTCTCAAGGAGTTGGGTTCCAGAGCCCAAACTGTGCGTGGAGGTGAGGCCGACTATATCTAGTCGGTAACGCTCAACCTCCCGCACAAGCTCAGGCTCCTTCCCCCCCAGCGAGGTGACATTCCATGTCCCCAGAGCTAGTCTCCATGTCCGGAGATCCGGTCGTCGAGGCCCCCGCCGTCGACTGCCGCCCAAATCTCTCTGCACCGGCCCCATATGGCTCCTCCCGCGGGTGGTGGGCCCACGTGAGGACGGCCCCACGTCGCTCCTTCGGGCTAAGCCCGGCCGGGCCCCGTGGGGGAAGGCCCGGCCACCAGGCGCTCGCTGACGAGCACCCACCCCAGGCCTGGCTCCAGGGTGAGGGCCCCGGTGACGCCAATCCTGGGCGACGTAATTGGCCTCTGTGTTGCACTCATCATAAGGGGCTTCTGAACCGTTCTTCGTCTGACCCGTCCCCCCGGACCTGTTTGCCTCGGGTGACCCTACCAGGGGCATGAAGCCCCCGACAACATAGCTCCCGGGATCATTCGGGCACTCAAACCCCTCCACCACGATAAGGTGACGGTTCAATGAGGGGTGTATATATACATATATATATATATATGTGTGTGTGTGTGTATATGTATATGTGTGTGTGTGTGTATATGTATATATATATGTGTGTGTGTGTGTGTATATATATAATATATATAAAATATGCAGTCAGAATATTCTAGCAAATGAAGGTGCAAAGCACTAGACAATACACATTTCTCTTCATAAGAAAAGCAAAGTGAAATCAAAGCAAAGTAGGATTTCCAAACAGAGGTTAGTCAGGTTCCATTTGAATATTTGGGCAGAGCATTGGCTCATATTGACATAGTGATAGATGGGGATTCTCTTCTATAGAGCCTACATGTGGAATGGCTGTCACACATCTGTGCATTGCCAGGTCCCAGGTGAGTTAAAGTCTTCCCCACAGACTCAGCACAGGGTTAGACCAGAGCCCATCCATCAGCCCTCACTGTGCTGTGTCTCCTGTGAACACATCACGAGCACAGGCATTCAGATGAGCACAGTGTACTCCACTGACCTCATTCACTATGTGGAAGTCTATTAGTCACAGCAGGAGTGGTAACCTCCATTTGTGTGACCCTCACGCGGGCTGACTCTCCTGTGCCTTTATAACCTGTCTGTGTGTATTCCAAGAGGCGTGTAAAATAGGATTGATGGACAGAGAGTCCCAAAGTGCTTCTATCATCAGTGATGGATGAGATGCTCCCAATGACAGCAACTTCTACTTCATGACATTTTATGACCATTTCATGATGAGCATCACATTCTGTTATTTACTGTGCCGTGCCCTAGAAAAAGGAAGGCTTGCATTTTTTGACAAGCTTGATATACTTCAAACCATAAACCTCTCATCTTTAGTTTATTCTTTAAATTATTATGAAGTATTATTTTAGAGAAACCTGTACACATTTCTATTCCAATTTTATTTGTATGTATTATTATCCAATTTACTGACAAGCTTGCAACATCAGTTTAATCTTGTGCAGCAAGATGAATTATTGCATTATTTGTGTGTAGAACACAAAATCAATGATCTGCTTTAAGCCAGTATTGTTTAACCTAACCAAAACTAAATCACCTCGATGATGAACTTTAGAATAACTTCTCTTCCATCTATATACTGAATTCTTCATATCTTTGTGTATAACACAAGACATGCCTATCCCTAGAGAGAGCATATCTCAAGTTCAGCTGCACTGCTTTCAATCTCAAGTACTTACTGTACCATTTGGCACAGAGGTGTATTTTTTTTCACTTCATTTAAGCCTTAAATGTTTTTAGTTTCATTCTTGTGACAACCAGTAGTGCGTAACAAGGTGGAGTTTACTTTGTTTTGGCAGTCATGTTGTATTTCCAAAGTAATGATAGGCCTGTAAAATTAGTGTCCTGGAAACAGTATGTGATTAATTACACCATAACACACTTTTCCCACTAATTACTGCTCTGTAATCTCAGTATGTGGCCCTTGTCTTTGTGTTGTTTGAGGACATGACTGTAAAGTATGTAATAGCTCATGCAGTTATTATGCATGTAGTCATCTCAAAACGGCTGCATGTTTTCAGAGCAATGCTTTGGAGTTTCAGGGTAGATACAGAAGAGACATTTTAAAAAAATAATTTTATTTTTAGGTTTTCATAACAAAACAAAACTTTTAAACTTTAAAACAGGGAAGACATTGACAAAGAAAAAGTTGTTGAAATTGAACCCCCAAAATATTCAGTCATTTGTTATGCCCCAAGCTCAGAGTGAGAGCATTGCTTTGGGAAGGGCAACGAGTGTAAAAGTATCCATAATCAATCACAGCATGCTAGGAGGCAGATCATTTATTTTGATGAAAAGTTGTAAGATAAGTATGGGATGAAATATTAATGTGTAAAAATAGTTTGTTTTTTAAATTGCAGGTGCTATTATCAGTGGGAGCAGTAAAATCATGCTTGAACCCAGCTCAGTGTTAAGATGGGGTATCACACTTTAATGGGGTATTAATTGCTAACCCAACATATTTAGATCAACATGGGACCTTTTATCTTTTGAAAATGCTATATTCACCAAAAACATACTCAAATCGTTAATACGTTTCAGTTTCTGTTTTGAAGTCCAAGTCCCCCACTCCCTCCAAAAAGCCAATATAACAACTACTGCTTCAATTATTTTTACTGTAGGAAGTCCTCTCATCCCACTGTGACATCCATTTCTATCAGTTGAGACTGGTGGTCTTTCAAATGCAAAACCATATTCTCTCGCCTCCATTTACAGAGACCCAATTTTGTTTCCTCTATGCAATGCTCCATTCTCAGTTAAAATATAAAATTTTGAGTAACCCAGTTGAATCAGTACACAGCCAGTGTAACGGGCTAAATCTCTGGTGAGTTACTCTTTTGGACATGTGAAAACACACTTTCTCTCTCTATACATCGTGCTCCTAAAGCAGTCTGAGCACTCAAGGGACCAGTGACCTGTCAGCTGTTCATGAGGTCACAGTCAATTTGAAAATACCAGATGCAGAAAGGAGAGCATTACTAAAGAGATGAATGCTTCATAGAGCCTGGTAGTTCAGTTGCATGTCCCAGTGTGAAACCACCCAGATAAACCTGTTATTGTCATTCATATTGAGATTGAGACAAGGTTTCAAAATCTTTTCAATAATGTTTGTGGCCATTCAGCCACTTTATCCTCCTGAAGCACAGGAATTGAGTTTAATAAGCTATAATAGAAAACCACACATGCATTTCAATATGCAATAAAAAGTTGTTGCCCTAAAAAGGGATATTGAATGATCTATAATTAATATTAGAATTATAAACATGGACAGCTACACAGATTGAGTTGTGTCCTTATTAAGATTATTAAACATGCATCACTCTGACCTAAAAGCAAGCAAATTCATGTAAATCAGTTTTCATACTTATCCTTTAATTATTGTGAATATTCAGAACCATTGTCCCATTCCTAATGATGTGTTAGGCCAGATTTGATTAGTATTTGTAGCATTAGTATCTCTCGTCCTGTGCAAATGCTTTAATATAGTGATAGTATATGGTAAATTTGTGTGAATTTGCCTTCCTATTTCCTCTTATATTGTATGTGATTGATAGTTTGATTTAAATGTATTTCTTCATAGCCTTCTTTAAACAATTATTTTGGATAACTTTCAGTATCTACACAATTTTGTCTTTGAATGTAACATGAATAAAAATGCAACATAATGTGTCAGAGGAAAGGCATGAGCAGATGCCAGACTCAGATGCATTAGTGTAGGGTGAGTGGAAGGTAAACACATTAAAGCTATATGGGGCAGAGTGCCTGATGCCAGTTGTATCAGTCCCTGATAGTGGACTGTTCTCACCCAGGCGTCCATCCAAGGGTCAAGGGAAGTCTGCCTCTGTCATAGACACAGGCTAACAGGATACACCCTCCATGCACTCTGCCACACTGTGACCACACCCTCGAAAACGAAAGAATAATACTGTATATTCTTTTGTAGTGATTGCCACTATTAGTCACAAAACCATTCAGTTAAAGGTGCACTGCAAAATTTTTCTGATGGAGGTCTGCCACCTGCTTCTTTCCATGGAGATATTACCTGGAATGTTCCAGGTCATTCCAAACAAAACATTTCCAAGGAGACAAGTAAGTGGTGGACCTTCCACCAGAGAAGTTACACAGTGCACCTTTAAAAAAACAAAACAAAACAATAGGCAGAACTTTAACATTCACTTGTATGCAAATATGTGCATGTGGGTGTGCGTGTGTAAAACGGTATGTTTTGGACTGCAAGGTGTTAGGGACAGGAGTAGGATAAATTGGTGATATTTGATGCCAATATTGTATTGGTGCCACCTTACTGACATGCTGACTGGATTCATGTAATATAACAGGCACCTTATGTGTTCTTGAACAAGAAAGTGTGTGTGGCCAGACTGGTCCTGACATTTTCTGTGCACTACTGTAAGCACCTCATTTCATGCAGCAGGCAGGAAAAGGGCTGTAGTGACAGAGTTGACAGGGCATGACTAGGTCACCCCTCACACAGTATCTCGTGTGTGGGTGTCTTCTTTTAGTAAGAAAACCCAAAAGCAGTGCTGTACAGTAGCTTAATCTGCTTTTTAGCTGAGGTCTGTGGCTGCCAAAGTGTGCCAACAGAGAACACTGTGTAGACTATTGAAGCCATGAACGTAGCTCATACTTGAACAGTAATCCGGGGTTGAAAATGCTCTGTATCCTTTAGGGCTTTCTTTAATCCTCCGAAAATGCTCTGTCTGGATGTTATGGGGGAGACTGGGACTGTCCTTATTAATAACATGGATCTTTGAAACAGTGAAAAACATTTTAGGAGAAAAGGAGAGCTGCATTTAGTTTGACTTTTACTCAGGTTCTTGGCTGTTCACTTTTAGCTTTCATAACATGGACCATGCTCTTGATACATATGCAATTAAAATAAAAAAAATGTCAAGTGATTTTCATTAACTGTAATGGTTGTTGTTAATACAATTATAGCAGCAAAGGGACGACATTTGATCTAAGTGGCCACAGGCTTTGATTTAGTCCGAATAATTACTGATTCTTCAGTGGTTTGAAATGTTGTGAAAATGCTTGGTAGAAATTGTTTTTATAGGATATTATATATTACATGTCTAAGATATAGAAAAGTAATTTGTACAACTGTTTCTTTTACTTTGTTTGTCACGACACGCTATATCAGCATATAATATTCTCAGCTCTTAAAATGCAAATGTTTCCATGCCCTGAAAATTGGTACTTCATATTTTTGTCTTTCTGTCTCCACAGGTGAAGAGCACCATGCAGCACATCAACCTGCAGATCAGCCATGACACCAAAGAGTGAGTTCTCTCTCCTGTCTCTACTTCCTGAACTGCTCTGCTAGTGTGAGCTCTGTCACCATTTATCTCATATTAGTGGCTCTGAACAAGGACAAAGAGAAGCAGCTGAGACCTAAAAAAAAAAAAAAAGTTTTAAAGTTTGGCCATGGACCAGTTTGAAAACTAAATGTCCTGAAACTTTCTTTTCAGCTCTGAGGTGAGTGAATGTAAAGGACTTGAGACCATTACTGCACATTAACTGACAAAACAGCCTCCGTCTCCTGTGGATATTTCCTCTAATTGCCCAGCTGGATTAGGAGTACACTATTGTGCTTGATGTCTAGTGCAGCTTTTCTAAAGGGTGTGGACAGTGACAGGTACAACTGTCAAATTCCAAGACACCAGTTCCATTTTGTGTTTTTCCTCCTTCGCTCCACACTATTACTGTATTTTTCGGACTATAAGTCGCTCTGGAGTATAAGTAAATAGACAAAAAATGCGTAATGAAGAAGAGAAAAACATATGTTGCACCGGACTATAAGTCACACTTTTTGGGGAAAATAATTTTTTATAAAATCAGGGACCAGGAACCGTCATTTTATCTTGAAAGGCAAGTTATAGTAATAACAGTAGAATAAAGAACAACAGGCTGAATAGGCGTTAATATATTAACGTGACATATTAACAGTTATTCAGATAATTATAGCATAACAACATAACATAAGTTTACCAAACTCACAATCTCACTCCAAATCTGACAAATCTGTCACTTCTGAGCAACTCCACGCAACTTCAGTTACCACTGAAGTCCTTGCTTTGTCATCCAATGACATCCAGGAAAGTTGCAACCCACCAAAGTAATCATGCCCATGGCTTTCCTAAAAAAAAATTATTTCAACTTCATTTATTAGGTTTTTTGACGGCTTGCTGAAACTTTTTTAGCATAAACACCATGTTTATAGGACTATGCAAAAGTGGTTCAAACTTGAAAATTGGACATTGTTGAAGCAAGAGTTGGCACTGGGCCTTGTCAAAAAATCGAATATATTGATGCAGCAGAATACACAGATAAACAGCGGATTACTATCCAAAAACACCGTATTGGATATAGCAATACACACACGCATGTTTTGCCTGGTCACAGAGTTTTGGCAAATTAAATTCAATGGTGAGTGAAATTCTTGTCTGGAGAAGGGTTTTAGGGTTGTTTGCTTGGCTGCTCTGGTGGTGAGGGGCGACAGTATTCAGCAGAGGGGTTAGGGAGGTCATTGGAAGAAAGAGAGGGACAGGGCAAGACTGACAACCATCGTCCCCAATACGCCTCGCATGGACCCAACTGTGGGAATACGCACGCAGCTCCAAAAATCACCATCTCGACATGATCTGGCTGTCAGGGCAGACATTAATGTTTTAGGTGCTTCTGTCCTGAGCCAAACAGCGACACAGTGGCTCATTCTGCTGTTGCTTTAAATGAACAAGTTTAATAGCAGCATCAGAGTCGTCGCCCTTATTTATGTGCATGGCTGCTACTGTAAGTTTGCCAAACATTTCATAATAACAGTTACATCACAGACCCAATACCGAGCTCATGAGCACAAATGCGTTATATATACAAGTGTATTTGTTTATTTATGACCTTATATAATCAGCATGGCTAATGTCTGCTAATGTTCTTGAAATCCATCAGTTGTCCAGGTAGGATTCATAGCAAAGGGAAAAAAAACAATTCTGTCAACTGGACAAATATTCTTTGATCGAAACTTTTGTTCAGTTGACTGAATTTAATTTCTCCTTTGCTATGTCTTCTAATGCTAATTAAGCATTAGCATTACAGATGTGGCTTTGGTTGAGGATCAAGTATCTCACCAAACGTTAATGGACTGTCAAATTAAGTCCTATGCCACTTTTCACCTTACTACACTTATTTATATGTAATTTTCTATTTTCTATTTTTTGGGAATTATTGGATTCTACAGTGTGCAGCAGCCACACTGTTAGTGTCACTACTTCCTGTACAATTGTCTATTTATGTTTTTTTTGCAGAGTCGTGCTAAAATTTATACATAGTTAAAGATAAGACACTGGAGTGTTGTGAGTGACAACACTGAACTACTACACACATCAAATGAACACTTGAGTGGACGATACTTCTGTGTTTAGAAAGAGAGATTAGCTAATGCTAATGTTGAGGCATAATCAATATTATGACAACACTACAAACTGAAGTCATCTACATTTAAAAATAATTGGTAGGCTTTACTTTATTAATTTGAATTTTAATAGGTTGTTTATTAGATCTGAGACACAGTGAACTAACTAGCATTCTGCTGTGCACAGACACAATTTAGCATATCTTAAAATCAATCATTTTTAGAATACTGCCCATCTACTAATTAAGCAAGAAAGTCTGACGTGATTCTTGTCATTTTGTTTACAAACACCAAAATGCTCGAAGGGGAATCTAAATTTAGGCCTAGTCTAGTAACCCTTCAACTTTTCCGCTGAGTCAGGCCTATGGGAGCTGAGGTGTAGCTCAATGTGCAAGATGAAAAAGTTTGGATCCAAACATAGAGGGACTGCGGTTTCTAGCACATCTTTTATACAAGTGTTTTTGTTCAGCCTAAAAACAGCACGTCCAAAAATAAAAGAGCAGGAGGAGAAAATTGAGACTGATTTATAGACAGACAGGCAGAGGGGGTAGTGTTTGTATATTATGTGTGTGCTCGGGTTTGGCCTCTCTCTATTCCCATTAGAAGACTGTTGTGCTCAGTGGCAGCCCAGAGGATTTGAATGGCACTGGCTCACAGTAATAGCAGCTCTGAGAAGCAGATTGCCACACATCCATGCACATTTTCAGCAACACTGTATTTATATTACCTTGACATTTTACTCCTGTACTATCTAAAAAGGCTAAAGAAAGACTAAAGAAATTCTCAGTCGACTAAAGACAAGACCTTGTGCATCCATTAATTGACTAAAAGGGGTGTGGCATGGCACTGGCAGAAGCTTTCAAAACTATTAGCATCTTGGAAAAATGACTATGTATTACAGATAAGTGCTAGTAAAAACATCATCTTTATAAGTGAAAAGGCAGATTGAACTGTCCAGTTACTCCCAAACTCACTTCATGCTTTCTCCTTTCTGATATGGTCATCATTAAAATCCTAACTAAATAATTAGCCGCCTAACTAAAAGTTTGGTAGACTAAGATGCCATTTACCAATTAATCAGTTAAACAGTCCTGCTATCCAGAGAACAAATGTCATCAAAATCTCAAAAGTGATTCTATTTTAGTTTTACAATTTCAGGCAAAATGCAAAATTACAGACACTGAAAGTATGATACAGTGAATTTCAGTTCTGCACTGACAAGTGCAGTGATCATTAGAAAAAAAGTAAAAAAGTGCATAAAGACTGTAATATGTTATTCACGGTATTGATTAAACCTATGCACTTCCTTCCATTCATGCTCACAACATTAAAAGCTCTAATGATGATTCCCATAAGAGCATATGCAATTTATCTAAAAGCTGTAGCAGTAGTTGTTTACTTAGAGATTGATGCTTTTTACGACCCCCAATGTAAGAAAACACACTGCTTAAGAATGACTTAATTCAGAGTTTATTGTAACTTTATTTGAAAGAAAGAATTTACCCATTTGATAGTTTAATAACTCATATTCATCACTCTATATGTATATCTTTTGTCGTTCTTAGGAGACCAGACACAGTCAAACAAAAGAACGCCTTTCCTCCAAACTTCATCCATTCTCTGGACTCCACACACATGATGCTGACGTCACTCCACTGCCACAGGTAAAACTACTTTTACTGTTTTTTCTAACAAACAATAGAAATTGATCTTAAGATTTGTTTCTCTGTTCTTTTAGTGCTGGTCTTACATTTGTATCTGTGCACGACTGCTACTGGACCCATGCCCTTACTGTGGACACCATGAACAAGGTACTAAATCAATATCATTGCATAATGTTTATCAATACATCTGCAGATCGATACTTTGCAGCTGATGTCATGAACATGTCCTGGGAGTTTGATGCTAACTGTTGGCTCTGCTCTGTGTGAGGCTTTATTAGACTTTAATCTGAGCTTTTTTCTTTTTTTGGTTTAATGCAATCTAACCATAAATACCTGTTTTAACTGGAACTACAACAGGTGAGCTGACTATTAAACAACTCTCACAAATAAAATTAGTGTCACAGCTCTCATTAGCCAACAGTTTTTCAGTTACTCACACAAATCAAACATCTAAACAGGACCATGAACACTCGTATTGATCACAGGCTCCTAATGTGCTAAATGTGCTGTTTAATCCATTTTGTGTGGGTTTTTTTGAGTTTTCAGACAGTCTTAAAACTTTTTTGTCAGTATTTGCTAATATGTGCATTGTATCACCATAGTAACTCTTAAAAATTCCACCCTTAGAGATACACGTAGAATACCCCCAGCATGATGTCACTGCAAAGTATCAATAATCTTAGTCAAAATATAGTATTGTTGACCACAGCGATGATTTAACTCACCTTTGATTATCTCCCAGATCAAAAACATACATTTTAAGAGAACTGGTGAACTGTCCATAAGGAATAACATTTGTCATACTAAAAGACATCTTTTTTTCCATATTCCCCAGCACTACTAAGACCCATGAGTGTGGATTATCATTACTGTCACCCACCTTTCCTACTGTAAATAAGTATCAAAAATGGCAGAAAAACATTTACTGTGATATTGCAGTCTATTTTCTGCACGTATAGTCTTGAGTGATGGCAATGTGAGGCAAGTTCTATTTTTAAGAAAACTAATCTAAGCTTTGTCCCAGTATGTAATAAAAAATAAATCTTTAGTTGTGTCTGTAACTAATGGCTGGTTGAGGGCAGTAAAATGTGCTTGGTGATGCCCGTAAAACACACTTCATCTTGTCTCACCAGTTTCTCTCAGCCACAGGCTGTCCAGGAGCTGCAGGTAGCACCATTAAAAAGCACCCGTTGTGCAGAATAAATGAGTGGTCCTGCTCAGAAAAACTGGCTTGTCAACAGGCGCAGATGGAGACACAGTGTTGAATAAAATGGATCAAATTACCATAAAGTCCCAATTTTCAGTAAGACGTAGACTCTGGGCGCAGTCACACTTTTATGCCAGCTGAGGAGGGTCGACCAATCAGGCGGTCCGATCTGAGAGCATTTCCCCTGCCTGATATTAGTGTGTTTCATGATTAGCATGTGCCCGGCTCGTTACAAGGGTAATTGAACAGAGCAGAGGTGCAAGCTGTTCAATAATTCACACAACAGAGAAGCACATGACACAGGACTTAAGTCTATGAGAGATGGGCTCAAACCTGTGGAATAAACAAGTGGTGGCAAGTCAATTTACTTCAAGTTTGCCAGTCCCAATCTCCGACAGTGTTTCTTCAGCACAGTCAGTTCGCAATTTCACACGGTTAAAGACCCTGTACCTGATTTGTACTGTCTTAAAATGTGAAAAACAGTGACAGTTCCTTAGTCGTTTTGCAGTGGTACAAAGTTATTCTTCACTTAACTAATGCATTCAGAGCATCCTTATCATTCACGGTAATGAGTTTATAAGTGCTTTTCAAAACTTTCAGAGGCCAGAGCGGAGTTTGCGTCACAGTAATACTAACAATGGCTGGCATGCTAACAGCACACTTCCTGATCGGACAATAAAACGCTGAGATGCATACAGTACACAGCAGACTTGTTTTGACCTCAAGAGCTGCTTATACAATATCTGTACTGGAACAAATTTTGCTCAAATTCATTTTTAATTTGTTCAAATAAAATCATTAACCAGATGTACTTGGACATCATGTTTGGACACCAAATAGCCAAATGGTAATATACCAACTGTATGAGAGATTCATGAGAGCCATTTTTAACATTCTACTTTCTGTTTACTTTTTAAAATAAATTGGCATAATTTCCCGAAGTGCACGTCTTATTCAATTTATCCTTGCTGACAAACTGACAGCTGCCTAATGCACCGAGACACTGGTCAATATTTAATGATCCTGTCTTGGGAGCCCTGTTTCTCCAATGGTTTCTTAAATGTTGAGCAGTGTGCCATGACCGATATGCTGCTCTGCTAGATGTGGGCTGAGAGTCCTAGGAGTTTCTGGGTTACGTTTGACTCTTCTTCTTCACTCACAGTCTTCCTCCCTGACTCCCTCTTTTGCCTTTTGCCTTGTCAGATCTGTCGGGAACAGTTTGTCGCTCTGCACAGTCAACCCATCCTCCAAGACCTGTCCAACTTTCTGCTCCAAAAATATTGTGCAGGACCCATGTAAGTACTAGTTTAAAAAAAATTTAAATAAAAATCTTACTTTCAAACTATTTTCAGAAGAATGTGGAAAATCTAAAACATAGTTGCTATAAATTGTGTGACATTTCAGCTAAATAGACAGAGATGAAAGAATGTATTTCATGTCACTTTTCACGAACATGGCTTAAATGTATCTAATCATCATGAAGAGGTTCCAAAGTAGTGTTTAAATTTTATCTACTATCCATGAATGCCAGAAATGTTACATAGTGGTGCTTTAATGAACTGTATGCACATAAGTGGTCTAAGACAATTATCAAAACCTTAATAAATAAAAATGTGCTTTTTAAATGTAGGTACTATTGTTCATTTTAATTTTGACACAATTAAAAATACATTATGTAAATTGTTATTGCAGTATAAACCCACTTATGACAAGCATTTTCAATATCAATTCTAACTGACGGACTTTTAATGTATGAAGCAAAAGCCACCATATATTGAAAAATGGCAGCAGTTATTCACACGTCATTACTTTATCCAAACAGACAGTAGGATATTAAACTACCTCATCAAACATCTCACATTAGAAGTTATGGGACTGTAAAAGTTTATTAGCGTGCCACAGTTTATCTTTCTGTGGCACATAAAATGATTTTGTGCAGTGTGAGTTTGAGTGTGCGTTTCTGGCCCCAGGCGGGGTTATGCTCATCGCGGCGCTGTGTTTTTCTCTTTGGGATAATTGGACACCTTCTCCGCAGCCTTGACTCCAGTGCAGCCTGCGTCTCACACTCTCTCTGTCCCCCACAACGAACATTATTCTTCTGTAAGCCGACAAAACACATTATTCACCCGCGTAGGCTCCGGTGGGAAGGACGGCGGGACAAATGAGACTATTTGGGCTTCTCTACTTTTTTCAACTCCCAATTTTAGGTCTCAAAATTGTCTATAGAGTTTTTAACTGGCACTGTGTTAGCTTGGACTATTGGCTATTGTTCAAGCATATTTGTTCAATATATTCATTATAATAGGCTACATTAACAGACCCCTATACCTTATTTCAGATTCAGTATTCAACAATGTCCTAAACTCAATTATAATTCTTGTATGCATCTCTGGTCCATAATGACATGAATACTAAGTTGCCATGTGCTTCCCTAGGGCACATCTTATTGTAAAAGTCCTATTGACTGGAATGTTTTTATTAGGCAAGCACACAGTAGAGCCAATTACAAATAAGCAAGATTATTCTGTGTATTATTGCCTTCTCTTCATCGAATGATTAAATGTCCTTCTACATACAATAAGGAAACTTCAGTTTCTTCTTTAAAATGAAAAACTAAGTGTGAGTTAATATACTTGTCCAGTCTGTACATGTTGTTCATCTCCTGACATATGAAAAAAGCTGACATTTTTGCCTATCCAGAGTTTTTATTTGATTTAAACTGAAAATTGTTTACTTATCTTCTCAAACTATAACAATAATCGGTCAAATCAGCTTGAGGCACTATGCAACTTTTCTGGTGGAGGGCCACCACCACGCCAATGTGCAGGTCAAATTTGTACATGTTTTTCAAGGTATCTTTGATCAATAAAAAATATAAGTGAATAAATGTAAGACTGATTAGTTTAATGCTATACCATGGAAAGTTCCAGACAAAGCAGTAACATCTTCATGGAGACACATATTCTCCAGAAGAAAAGTTACATAGTGCACATTTAAATATCAAGGCACTGGGTATTATCATGCTGTCTCTGTCAGAGTGAATCCAAATACAGTTTTAAGTTTTGTTTTCTCTTCTCAATATCGAGCCACCACCACCACTTCAGCTCTCCCGTGCACATGGGCGATCATGTATCTCCCTGTTCAGTGTCTTTGACTTTCTACTGGACGTGTTTACACTCTGTGACCTTCCAGCTTGTCTGTAGAGGGTCATTAACTTGTGACTTCAATGGTGTTTTTCCCTTTGTGACAGGACTGAAGCCAAGAACAATAAGTACCAGGAGTACAGGAGGCTGATGATGCTGCTGGCCAAAGTGCCCCAGACAGGTTAGTTATGCACACTGCCTTTCCTCTGCTCCTCAGCTTTGTTTGAAACGGGGGCACAGTTCCGATTCCTGTCTCCTCTTTTCCTAATTGGGTGAATGACGACTTTTCATGTCCTGGAGCTTTAGCTTAGGTTACCCGAGTTCTAAAGTTCAGCTATACTGTACTGGTACACAGCCAAAAGATCACAACAGAAGGTTTGATGACATTTTGCTCTTTGGTATTTATATGCAGTAGAAGAATCTTTGCAAACTTTTTAAGGCTTACACAAACAGAAAGCCAAAAGGCAATATCTAATAATGAAACTTCTTAGGGCAGTCAAAGTCAAAAAGAACTGGACTGAAATTTAAAAAAAGGGCATCAACATATGAAGGCCAACTATTTTACCATCTATATAACATTACACTATTCTTATCACTATTAAAGCTACAATACTTTTATAACATTTCCTATTTGGGTGAACCATAACTTATGCATTATGTTATCATAGTTACAATCTGTGAACAATAACTTTATGTTGTGGAGTTTTAGGATTTCGTGGTTGGCATGTTATCTCTGGCCACATGTTAGCTGTATTGTTCAAAGGCGCTGTTGCTTGTCTACAGGTTTAGAGGCAGGTGGGTGCTAGCTTTGCTCTTATGTAACCTCTCCATCTGCACTGGACTGTCAGACAGCTGGCTCCTACAAATTGATTGTTGTTAATTGTGTCCCCCCTCTGCATAATCAGCTTAAAGGGGATGAGGCCAGTCAGGTGTGGACTGAGAGCGTGACTTTGAATGTCCATAATATTTCCCCTTCAATACTTGAATCATTATCAGAAATCTGTTATAATCGTCTGTGGACTGGTTTCCTATTATGTACATGTGGTTTATTGAGCATAATCCTCCTGACTCTGTTGGGTAACCTTTAACGCTGATCTGCTTAAAATACATGAAAATAAGGTTTCACTTTCCATAATGTTTTCAGCATATCAATGATCAATTCTTTGATGTGAAGATTTCTCAATTATCCAATTATCCTTGGTATTAGTCCTTGATATTTACTCAATGCAAAAAACAGATATAATGATTAAAACATAAACAAATTTAAGTGAATTTCCAATCAGTTTACTTTTCTTTAAACTAAAAACTTAGAAATGCCAAACTTAGAGAAAGTTACATTGTGTGGTTTTAACATGTTTCCATAGCTGCAGATTGATTTTCTTTGCTTTGGGCTTAACAAGCAAATCAATCTGTTGTTCTGTTGTTCTTTTAAGACGGCACAGCATGACACCGTATGGGGCAGTTTTTTTGTTTTTTGTTTTCTTTTTGTTTCACACAGTGCATTATGTCATCATGGATACAATCTGTCTGTCTGTTACTATGATGACATAACAGTCTCAAAAGCACAAAGAAAAACAAATTGTTTCTTTAAACTTACTTAGTCCACACTTGATTAGCTCATAGCTCGGCTCCACTTCTCTTCTGTCTATCACTAACTTTTTATGGCCCCACCTTAATAATTCACACTGGTGCTTCTGCCGGGGCACACAGCTGCCAACGAGAGCACACAAGCTTCAGCAAAGGACCTAAAAGGGGCTAAAATTAGTATCCAAGTCCCTAAGTCCAACTACATTGTACTGGGACAAACAGTGTGATGTGTGGCATTTCCAAGAAATATTATATGGATTGTAGGTTTAAGATGTTGTGCTTTAAGGCTTATCTGAGCAATGAACAATAATAACACACAACATCAACTATAAAGCAAAATAAAGACAGACATGTATGGTACAATTTTTTTTACAGGCTATATAACATGGCTTTATTACCTTCATAATTAATGTTACAGTATATTTACTTAAGTCCATGTATGCAATTACTGATCATAATAATTACTAAAATTACTAAATACTAAAAGAGTATAATAAACTATAATACAATTATAATATTATAATAAATGGAGTAACCTTATTCCAGTTATGTTGTCAAACAGTGACAGAGGTAACACTGATGACTTCTAGTGTTATTCAGAGGTTCTGATGTACCTGGAGAATAACTTCTAGCTTATAAATGTTTCTTTTTTTAATTCATTTAGTTTTCCTGGCCTGTAAAGTTGCAATTGAGATTTGAAAAGTTGGAGAATCACTACAAAACAGTGTATTTAATTAGCAGCACAGATCAACATCATGACCTGTCTTTTGCCTGTACAGGTGATTTTGACCTGGAGCTGGTGAAAGACTCGACGTTCTTCTTCAGCTGAGGCCCCACCAGGTGAACCAGTCATGGAGATGAGTGACATTGACATGCGCCACAGGAAAGCTGTAGGTCTGGTGGAGTCTGCATTGATTCAGGGGCCTGTCCTGGTTCACAGGCGCTCGTCTGTAGATGGTCCCCCACAGAGAACATACCTAGAGGTGGCCTACTTCTCCACGAAGAAGATGAGAGAATCAACAGTGGACAGGGGTGTTAAACCTTCAGTCCGACAAATGCACTGACATGGCATTATGACCTGCTCCAAACAGAAATACTTCGTCTTTTCATCAATAACAACCATGCTGATTGCCCAGTGTTCATTTGATGGATGAGCACAAAAGTGACACCACACAGTTTTAGAAATGCTTGACACTGTTTTTTTTTTAACCATCATTAAATCTATTCTGCCTTTAGTTAACTCCATTCTCTTCTGACGCTATCGTCTGTGGTCATAATGTTATGTCTGACTTCTGTTTTGAATTGGACAATAACTGGAGTTTTATGCTGCCATAAGATTGAAATGCATAAATCCCTATGCCCTGTTGGACTCAGCTGACAGACTCTAACCTCATGATGGGTTGGCGTGTGTGCATTTTCCTGCTGTGCAGAGTGCAGACCTGTCTATTCACTTTTCCATCTAACATCTGATCCCAACCAGACAACAGGATGCCCATCATGGAATTTTCCAGCAGGTTGTACTTGATGAGACATTTGAGAAAATAAGTGACTGAACCTTCAGACATAAAGCAATACAGCTAACATAGTCATCATGGTGTCTGCCTACTTCTGGTCGTTCTGGAATGACTAAGCACTTAACAATTGCCTCTAAATAAATGTGTTTCTTAAAATGTCTTCTCATTCAATTCATATTTCAAAGAAGTAGCCAGGCATCTCGTGCTTGAATAGGGCGTCGGCGCAGGGCTGTTATTTAGTTATATCTGCATATTTCAATTCCGTTGTGTGTGTGCGTGTGTGTGTGTATGAAAGAAAGATGAATGCCCTTTTTTTTTTAAAGCTACCACAAAGACTTGACTAATCAACTCGTATTTTTCTGGGCTATTGTTGCTCCTAAAGGTAAAAATAGATCTGATCATTTACTGAGAATGTAGCAGTGGTTTCAGACAAAGGTGTTCAAAGCCACAGTGCTCAAAACACAGACAGATGAATGACAAAAGAATCAAATGGAAGTCATGTACAAAGGCAATACTGCTGAGCTCATTACTACAACATTTAGAATTTTATAGTTTGACTTGGTTCATTAGACTTTTATTAGCTGTAATCACATGCAACCTCTCCTGTCTCGTGATAATAAATGGGGCAGTAATCACTTGAGCTGTCAAATTTACATCAGCACCAAACTTCAAAACTCCTCCAATTTTTCTCTTCCTTGACATCTGTGCTCCAAGCTCCATTTTGCATATAGCTTTCAAAGTAGATTTTTTTTTTCATGATACCCCAAGTTTTTTTTAAGTTTTTTTTTAGGAGCTCTGAAGATAAGCAAGTGAGTGAGTTAAATTGGTTCCTTTCTTGGTTCACCTGCTTCATTCACAGGAGATCGTAAGCTTATGCAGAAAACCCAGCACCTGAATAAGGTTTGTGAAATCAAGAAAGATTGTTTTGCCACATTACTTGTTGTTTATGAGTAGATGGATGGTTCAGAGAAGACTGTGAGATAAAAGGCAGTCTTCCACACAGTAGGTCCATTACAGTTTATGCAATGTGAAACTGGATCTGACATTGACAGTTTACATGATGAGAGTGAAGATGCCCTTTAAACAGACTGCCCAGTATCCTGATGGGGCGTCTATGTCCCTTGGAGTCGATAGTCGGTCCACGGTCCTGTACTGCGCTAATGGATCAAACTCTCTCAGGAAATGAGAAAGTGCAGCGTTTCTCTAGACTAGATACAGTACATACATATATATTATAACGGTCATTTTTGTGTAGTTCGTGGTGGCAGAGTGGTTAGCTCTCCTGTTTTTCTTTCATCAAGCCATGGAACCTTCTAGCAACTTTATAGTCTCTTCCTGCATCTTCGGTATTTGCTTGGCATTATTAATCTTTGTTTGTTTGATATTTTACCTTGTAAGAAGATCTTTATTACATTGTCTGGTTTCTGGGCTCTGGACTTTCAAGAGTCAACAGAAAATATTAATCATCATGAGGCTTAAGATGGTAAATGTCATAACATTTGGATGGTATTAGTAAGATTCATAAATGCAATATTACCATCTCCAATAACATGTTAATGACAAATAACCTTTTACACCAATTTAATAACTGACTAACTCAAAAACTACTCTGTGCTCTAGTTGTGCAAGTTGTGCATTTACAGTCGGGTTTATTGAGTTTTAATGAACGTTCAAGGTAAAACGTTGATTGGAAAGTGTCCCTGAAAACTGCATCTAGTAACTTTTACCAATAATTTCTGTCCTTGAAAGAATCCAGGCTGACTCATACTGTGCTGTAAACTGAAGGCTCTCCATACTTCACATATATGTCATGCTCTCTGAATGTACAGTAAACAACATGGTATGCAGGTTCAAAAGAGGAATCAAAACATCAGCCACAGGAGGAATGTGTCGGTGCTTATCGACACAGGAGGCCAGAGCTGGGAGCCACTGCTGATAGGCGCCACTCAACTTGCCCCGTGTGGGACAGCTTTGATTTCGTTGCCAAGCTGCCGGGCCGCCCCGCCATATCTGCATCACCGCGACATCATGGGAGTCTAGCACTCAGCAGCAGTGGTAGAAGGGGGCAGAATGGACTGAGCTAGGATTAAAAGGGAGGTGCCAGGGGTCAGTCACCTGAGAGATTGGTGGATTAATAACTATCAGATGACACATCAGGAGGAGCTCACACTGTCACTGCCACTTTCTTTGCAAATTGAAGCCTCATTTATTCAGAATTCAGAGATTGAGATATGTTTTTAATAGCAAGGTTTGATCTGTTTTTTCCAATCATCTTTTCCATTCAAGACTGGAACCTATAACACATGAATTCATCACACATGTTCTCTTTCTGTTTAGTTTACAATATCTCATGTTTTCTGCTTTATTTGTTAATTGCTGTAGCTTCAGCATCTACAGCTTCAGTATGTTTGATGTTTGTTGCAGATCTGACCGTAACTGTAGGTGAGAGAAACCTCTAATTAATGTCTGAGCCAGGCCCCAAATGGACAAAGATATAAAATGCATAATACTGCTCCCATTGTAAACATTTAAGATTTAAGGACATTTAAGGCCAACACAAATAATCCAAACACACAAGAGTATCATAGTCCTGTATAAATACACTTTATTATTTGTCTTTATACATGTATTGCAGTGGGTTATAGGTGATAGTGACATTTGCATTGTTATAATTTTGCATTATTGTACAGCCACACAAAAGGAGTATAGAACATGAGTGATGCTTAATCTAGGCACTATAGATATGCTGCACACTTTTAGATGTGTGAGTGTGGGTGAAATCAAAACTCACTGGCGACTGTTGTATTAGATTCAAGTGTCCATTTAGCAAAGGTTCTGAACTGTGTGTTTCAAACTGTCCAGCATCTTAAAGAATGCACAAGTGGCAAAAAGTGCATTGTTTATAGTGGTGCCTCTGGCATAGGAATGGGGCTTTTGGCCACACAATGCAACATTATCAACATAATAATAAACCATATTAGACTATTTAGTTCCAAAGAATTACTACAGATATACAAGCACATGACTTGTACATCTGGGTGGGTTGTGTGCCAGATGCCTGTGAACCCTTCAGGCTGCACTGAAATGCGAACAACTAACAGCTAACAGTTGAGCACTGTACCTTTTACATAACATGCTGCTGGAGGAGCTGTGAAGTGCATCGACAGAGTTGGAGGCAACATGCATAGAGTACAAACTGTGGTGTCAAAGTTTGCTATGAACTCAGAAAAGGTAACAAAATGGAAAAATGAAGTTAACCATGGCCACAGCAACTGCCATTGTCTCAATACAAGCTGCAATGACGTGAAATGCAATAGTCTAAAATTAGCCATTTGTTTTCAAATAAATATAATTATTTCTCTAATAAGAAAAGCATATTCATGTTTTAAACAGTTTCTTAAGTGTGCCTACATTTAGAGTAAACTAGGCTAAATAAATAGTCCCTTTACATGTGTACACATAAATTACAACCAGGTTAAACCTCAAGCTCAGAACAAATGTTATAAAATCTGATCTAGGACATGAAATATTGCATCTCTATCTCTATTTAAAGTGACTTTACTGAGACTGCCTGTGCGTTATTGCTCTCTTTAGAAATCAAAGTGTACTGTTCTCATGGTTGGTCAATAAACAATGTAACACCACTGTTTGCATACATGCCCAGGAGTCAGGACAAACTTTGGCCACTGTCTTTCACTTGTGTAATGTTCACAGCTGGATCATTACTTCAGGCTGTTTTTACATTTACATGAAAACTTGGCAACATCCTCAACATCCATAAGCCATAAGGGGAAAAGCTTCCTGTGATGAGAATTCCCCATCCTTTGCACAATATTTTGTTACATAATATGCCCAAGTTACCTAGGACGTACTTTTGGAAGTTGTGTCTCCAGGAAAAGACACAAACACAGTCAGTTTTAATTATCTTTCAGTAAATGAGTCCCTGGGTGAATCATTTGCGTTGAAAACAAAGTGCTCTGTGGAAATACTTGGACTTGAAGGATAACCTAAATTGTGAGTGGGAGTAAGATAAGGTAAAAGGAAGTGAATATTGGCACTTTAAAGTCAATCAGAGGAGACGTTTCAGACTAACAGCCCTCATTCACCTGTAATGGGCTGACATTGGACAGATGAAAATGAGGGAGTGTAATGGTTTGTTATAGTTTTAGATATAGTCTTCGGTGTCTCATAAAACTCTTCTAGAGGCAGTAGTGACAGAGGCACACTGTCGTGCTCTGACCTTGGCAGAGCTCTGGCTGTAGTGACTTTACCATGAGTCGCTTTGGCTTCGACATAATGACCAACTATGAACAGGACTTCAGGGGACGACAAGTGGTTTCATGAATGACTTTTGATTTGTACAAAATCCTTGGAAGTAACTGGCAGTGATTTTTATCATAGATCAGATCAGCATACTTTAGGGAATTATGAACTTATTTATAAAATCATATATTTCATGAACTCTTAAAGGAATTGTTGAAATAAAACTTTCCTTGTTCATTTTAAAGCAACATTAATCAACTTCAATTGATTGGATGGTTGATGCTTTCACTGAGAATGGCTGACCAGGTTAAATATGTCTTGGCCATGTGTCTGTTATCCCTTCCTTACACTGTTATGGAATTAGCTGTACTGTAGATACTTGAGAAAGCAACCATAATGTTTTACAATTTAAAACTTTTATGAAAGATATTGATTAATGTAGCTTTAAAGAACACAAATACTCTTATGTAAAAATCAATGGCTTTGCTGGAACAAAGCAATTTGTCCCACTTTTGGAGTTTTTAGAGCGAAAAATGCTTGGACTAATTATTCATGGACAGTATAGGCAACCGACGAGGAGAAAGAAAGAAAAACAACATTTTCAATCTCCGACTCCCCATAAATTATGGCTTTGCCCTATTATACTGAAATTAAGGTGGTCATTTTCAATACTGCTTTCTATATAATATTGTTTAAAGTACAATTGTTTTAAAATACTATACTTATTATTACACCTATAAGGGGAATACAACTACCCAGCTAAACAACAGAGAGTTAAAAGTGCCCATTTCTAATATAGCCTTTCTGATTTAGGTCCCTGAATTACTATCAGTCTCATTCGGTCTTTCATCAGTAATACATTTCAAAGCTGACGTGTTGGAAATAAATGAAAATATTTTAGGACATTTTGAGAAGATGCTACCTTACTTCTATAGTTCTGTGCACTTACTGAGTTAATGAACATATCAAAATTCTCCATGTACACAGTCTCCACTTAGAATCCACTCAGTTCTCATTCATACATTCATATAGTCAAACGGCAAGTCAGAGGGTGGACCATAGAAAGTGGCTGTACCCTCATTGCTGAAAAGAGTTTTACTGAGATCACAAGTTGGATGATAACCTTGATCTTACTTTAACGTGATCTGTTTCTGGAAGGCTCCCTATTGAGTCCTTTTTGGGTAGCCCTGAGTCTCCAAGTCCCTGTGCCAAGCCCCCCACTGTCAGCCCGGCCCCCGTCCCAAAGCCTTGAAAGGGTGAAGGTAAGGACGCTGCAGGAAACGCCCCTACAGACATTTGGTGTGGCAGCATCACTCTTTGAGGAATGGCACTCCGGACAGCAGTGTGTCCAGATGGGGTCTGTGGAGGAGGTCCTATTGATGTAGAGGAGACTCGCGTGGACTGGGGAGGACTTGGGATGGCTGGCTGCAACCCCTCGTGGGGCAAGGACGGCTGGGATGCAGATAGTGCCCTTGCGTCCTGGTTCAAGGTTCCCATTTGTAAGGAATGGGTGCTTTTATGGGTGCTTGGTCGGTGAACAGGGCTGGATATGTGCTGTTGAACTAGGGAGAGTTGTGATCCAGACGTGGGCCCAGTGAGCCCGCTAGATCCGTACTGGAAAGATCGCCCCCCAGTGGCTAAGGGGCTCTGAACAGGCGGACTGGACATGACTGAGGCAAAGGCACCAGAAGCAATGAGCTGTGACTGGAGTGGAGAGGCCGACGCTGGGCTTTGCATCACCTGGAAGCGCCGCACCATCCGAGGAGACTGCAGTGACCCCCCCTGGTTGGGAGGGCAGAAGCTCATGGCCACAGCCTGCTGCAAGGTGGCGATGGCTGAGTTTTGCTGTTGCTGGGTAGAGGAAGGAGGGGGAAGGTAGATCCCCCCAGGAAGAGGCGGGGTTAAAGTGGACAGGGACATGGCACGGGGCCGCGGCGTCTCCACGTGCTGCACCATCTCGCGGTCATACTTGACGATTTCCTGGATCATCTCATTCTCGCGGTTGTTGAAAACGCCTGAGTTGAGGTCATGCTGAACCTTGTGCATTAAAATGGAGTTCTTCTTTCCTGCAATGACAGAGATTATGACATTAGTTCCTAGAATGTGGAGTGAAACAGATGGGAAAACAGGTTAGCGGAAGCATCAGGGAGTTTGAAAGATAAATGCTTTTTAAAATTACTATTAAGATACGAGCCTAACAATGATGGGTGAGATAGTTAACATTGTACCACTCACAGAACAGTGTTAAAAAGTGAACGTTTCTTTGTTAAACTGTAAATGTTTTATCTTTCCTCTTTTAAAATGGGTGTATTTTTTCGGAAATTATGTAAAGAGATTTTTCATTCTGTCAGCAGGGGAGAACACCTGATCATGGGGAACAGATTATGCTAGTCCCACTCACAGAAACAGGTGACAGTCCCACGTGGAACAACACATGTTAACACCTAATTTCAAAAGTGTATAACCTAATATAAAGAATAACATTAGATCCCTGTAGGTTTCTATTACACACTGAAGTATTTCACAGCTTCCCGAGGACCATATGCCTCCCCCAGAGTGTGAGATGTGTCTGTATTCTTTCTTGATTGGCACACACTGCAACAATATGTTACTCTATATTTGGCTCTTTAGACTGCTTCCACATCGACATGAAGCACTAATGAGCCATCTACTGTGCATAGATCTTCACTATAATATCTATACTGTCTCCTGGTAATCTGCTGCCCATATCTTACCTGTTTTTGTATCAATCATTAATAGGTGATATTGCTATTCTAGGTGAATCTAAGTGAGAATCATCAGATGTGTGTCGTGTCAGGCTAGGAGTGCCAGAGGAAGAAGCAGGCGTTAAAGGGAAGTGCAAACCAAAGTGATCCTATTCTTACCGCATCAGGTGCTGCACACTATGTGAGTGTTAACGACTGCAGTGCAATCAGGGAGAGAGGTGAGTCCTTGGTACAGATGGATGTGGAATACGGATGAGTGGTTGTGGAAACATATCTAATTGTTTTTGGAAGTTTAAACTACAGGGTTAGCAGATTGTATACTTAATGACACCCCGTGGAGACAGTGTTTTTTTGTTTTTTAAAGAGTAAGTTTTATAGTATAAATAACTGTAGCCTTTGCGATTTGCTCCTTGCTATGGTGGTTCAATTGTGGTTAATCTTACAGAGTAATAGAGAACCTGTTCCTCATGAACAATTAAGTCAACGAAATTAAATAACACAGCTATATTATTTGACCTTTGGCTCAATGTGAATGTATAGGCCATTTTAACATTAAATGCATTAACACATGTGCCAAGACCAAGCTCGAGCTACACTATAATTGATGTCTTTTTGCATAATTTGGTATAATCGCTCATTTCAACCTTGCATTGTGTCCTTTGGCAAAACACTTCACACTCCTTGCACACAAAGCATCTATTGACTTTATGGACCATTCTTTCTTTCAGTCCATGTTGGAGCTGCAAAAAGCCTCTTTTCACCAACTGCTACTGGACAGGATGATGTGGTTTGGGGTGTTAGCGTTTGGCTGCCTGTGGCCTTCACTGCTCCATCCACATAATTCCCTGTAAATCGGTGGAGGCCAAAGTGGACCAACCACAAAACCAGCATTTACACCTATGGGTGACTGTACCGCTGCATCATTTCCTCAGGGACATTGTATAGGCCAGTCATGTATGAGACAGAATCAAAGACTTCAAAGTGCTTCCTGTGAGCCTGGCCAATAGGATCATGGTGGGAGAATGATATGGTGAGTCATTAGCCTCTTCAGCCTCTTTAGCCTCTTTAGCATGTAGAAGGACCCATGGCAGGGACCACGCTCAGGGGGTGACTGATGAGAAAATCCCCCTGTATCATACAATAAGAAAGGCAGAATATTTCCATGAGCTCTGCTAACTGCAGAAGAACTGGACTATAAAGCAGATCCCTGTATGTGCTTGTGTAAGGGCTACAAATATCAGTGCCATGAACTAAACAGTGAACAGAATTTTCTCAAAACAGCATAATGAAATATAACATCAACAAGTAGGAAATGCTAGAACTAAATTTGGCTAAATTGTTACTTTATTTCTGCAAATTAGAATAAATTGCAAGCAAGATTAATAAGGATAATAATAAAAAAGTAACAAAACAAAACTAGCCATGGCCACTTAAAATTGATATTGAATTTGATCTTTTAACAATACAAGTTTTGAAATATACACTGATTACAGCATTTTGATTGGCCTTTGGAAAAAAGTTTCTTCACTTTGAGACTGTTCCAAGAAGTTCTGGGCAAGTTTAGTTTCAGCAGCATTCATATTCTTGGCATGGACACTGTCAGTCTTGTCTTGTTTGCTTGGCTCATTATTGAGTGAAAGAAACAAAACAAACATAAAACATGTGTGATTAATATTCAGCGAGTGCAAAGTCCAATGAGGATATTTGGACAATGAGAACATATTGAATCTAGCACAGTTTGAGCGAAATTAAACAGGAGATGTGATTCATGGCTGGTAGTGAGACTGTCGGAGTGCTATGGTACGGGAGACAAAGGAGAGTGGGATAAAATAGAATACTACAAAATATTTACTACTAATACTACTTTACTACTTAATAGTACAAAATATTTTATCTTGCAGTAAAAGTGGTTTATATTTAATTTGTTTATTGAACTAGATTTTATTTCCAAATTACATGAAAAATTTAATATTAGTGAAGTAGGAATCTGAAAATAAGTTGTAATGCTAATTTGACTTGGCAATTAACAGAAAAATGTATTGAAAACAGTCAGAAATAAGTTGAACCCAGTTAGAAATTGTTGACATGACGTAGACAATCATCTAACTCCATGACTATATAGTAGAAAATAGCTGCACTTACAGCTTTATTTTTGCTTCTGTTTTATGCTGATTATAATGGCTTTGTACAAGGGGATGGGGATAGTTGCCATTTTATTCTCACCTCTAAGGTCAATAAATTGGATGTTCAGCTATACCATTGTAATAGAAATGTAATAGAACAGACAATAGACTGTTCACAATGCATTGCTTTTCTATAATGTTCTGTCTAATATTTTGTATGCTCTGGCTATATGACTTTGATTATTGGTTTCAAAAGCATGTACTGATTTGCATGAGATTTGCAATAGGTTCAATCATTTATTTGGACATAGAAAGTTAGTATGAGCAATGATAACATGTAAAAATAACTTGTATGTATGATAATTTCTAAAAAAAATGGTTCAGGAAGTCCATTATGAACTGAACTGTTGCAATGAAAATATAGGCTTCTTGTTGAATGAGTCACTTCCTGATGAATACCTGTATGAGCAAATGCTAATTGTCTGTGGCTACGTTCTTATGATGCGAATCACAAATTACATCTTGATCACTTTGATATTTTCTGCCTTGGCTCTGCTTTGTCCTTTTTAACTGCTTAATGTGCCAGTAAATCTGTATGAAAGGGATATAATTAGAGGCTTTGTGCACAGCCTTCACATAGTGATTCAGTTAAAGATACAAGGCTGATACGTGACTATACTTTATTCACTGGAGGACTAGAAAATATTTCTTTTTTTTATTTTACTAAACATTTGTAAAGCTTTCAACAGCACAAATATAGCCAGATTTTAGAAACTAACAGTAGAAACAGTATGCCAGGTGCTGTCGTAATTATAAGCCTGATTAAATAAAGATGTTTTTGCCAGGAATGTGTAAAATAGTTTGATTACACTTTTAAAATCTGATATTTCTTTTTATTTTATATTATATATTTTATATTTTATATTCCTGCTGTCTGTTAAAAGGCAAATGTAAAATATCAAACCCAGGTCTAGGTGTTCTGACCTATTCTGTCGAGTCTGTCGATGGCCACAGTCTCAAAGGCTCTTCTCATCATGGGGTACTCCTCCAGCACCTCGTTGAAGTTGTCCACAGACAGAGAGTAGAGGCGGCAGTAGGTGTCTGCACGGACACTGGCCGTGCGCCGGCCCCTCGTCAGCAGGCAGATCTCTGAGGGCAAGACCACAAATACAACATGAACGCATGACAACATAAGAGTCATTCAGCAATAAGAGAAATGTGATTCAGGACTGACCTGCTTTCACTGTAGCTCTGCTTATTTGAATAACAAAAGAACCACTCACATTTCATTATTTATGTCTGATACATTTGAATATTTGATTGATGAGTCTTTTGAAGCATTACAAGGCAGTGTATTGGAACTACACATGCTGCATCCAATGTTACAATTAAACCTTATCAATCATCCTTTTATCAGCTTCATATATTTAACTAAAGCCCTAAGGCGGCTGTAATAACCAGGTATTGTTTACAAAGGCACACAGTCGGAGCTTATTTGTTCACATCATTGATTAAGTGACCACTTTGGTTATTCAAATGCATGGTCCATTGTTGGCTTCAGTCACCATGAGCTTGGTCTGGACTTTGTATTATTTTGCTGGTCTTGACAATAACACTATTACCAAGTGTGTCCATGTCAATAATATTTTAGAACAGCACTGACAGCTGACAGAAGCTCTCTATATTTGGAGGTGCTTCATTACATTCAGATGTTGCCTTTTTCTCCCGCTGAATCTCTCTTCCTTCTTCCTCTATGGACTAGGTTTAGTGTTGTCTTGACAACCATAAGCCTTGCACCTGAAACGGTGACCTGCTGTGACTTGTGGTTCAACAAGGAGAGAAAACATTACATTATGAGCATGCGTATGGGACCCACAATGTAGTCTCTAGAGCAGTGTTTCTCAAAATGAGGTACCCCAGGGTTCTGTCCAGGTTACAATTTGGTATGGTAGACATGGTTTAGTCCCACATCAGTTTTATTTCATGGAAAATGTCTTTGACGGTTGATGCAAATTAGACATAATGCAATATTTGTTTAATTTTTTTCTGTGTTTGGCCTTCTCTCTGTTATTTCTGTAAATCAAGATGAGGCTTATTAGGTACTTGGGGTGAAAATCTTGAGATCCACTGTTCTACTGTATTTGAACAGACTACAAAGAACTTAACCCAGCAGGACTGACAGGATGAAGCTAATGAGCTGCTGCAAAACCATGGCATTTCATTTCTATTCATTTATTTATTTGAATGGGACAGTGAGCAGTCCATTCATCTGATCTATGAAAACTACAGTTATATTTGTATAAGAGTCTGGATGCAGAAGCATTAGTGCAGAGCTTGTGAAGATGACTTACAGTTTGCTAAAGCATTCATATTTTGTGCTACATAAAACACTGAAATGCTACACAGAAAAACTCAGCCACTGAACGTAAAATGGGACATGAATGAGTAATTCATGCTGCTGATCTTACTGCTACTATGCAATACTACTTTTCATATGGGAAACATGCTACATACAGAGCATTTCTGAATTTGTGCCCCAGATGTTGGTCCATAAATTGCCACATGAGATCTTTCTGGTTATGCACGGCCCAGTGATTTGCATATTTCCATGGGCATCATTATCATGCAGTGGGAAACACTTGGAAAGGATAATCAGACTAATGAAACCACTGGGGCTACAGTAAAAGGCTCTTCCAACCACTATTTGCTCTGTGTGGACTGGCCAACTGTCAAGAGCAATGACAACAAAAACACTGTATTTTTGCACTGGTGCAAATATGAAATCTAGTCTGTCATTAAAATCTGCTTGGACTATTTCCTAAATTATAATTCCTATTTTACACTGGCTTTGAACCCAAGGGACACCAGATGTCCTTACTCAACCTGATAAATTATGTATTTACTATGTACACCACTATAAAGGCCAAGCAATCACTGAGCATCCAACTTCCATAAAAATGAATAAGCTAATACTTCATCTACTAATTATTAATAAATGTCACAGCCCCCAAGTGCAAAAAGTGTGAAATATAGAGTATCTAGGTCACTGTACTCATGCTGAAACATCCCCAAATGTAGTCACACCTTGCTCTGATCAAATTGTTGAACCAGTCCAGTCCACGTCCAGTTCATTTCCTCTGTGGAGTCAGCCGTGAGACGCCCCTCCTGGTGGCACTCCACGCTCCATGCTGAAGATTACAAATGGCCCTGTCAACACTGTGCGGCAGTGCTAATTAGCTCATATTAATTGGCCATGTGGATGTGTGCCTGTGCAGCTGAGCGTCCTCATCCTCACTGAACTCAGGTCAGCTCCGCAGTCAGCAGCAGGTCAACATGTGGGCTGCACTTAGCCGAGCCCAGTGTTGGTAGGTAAATCTGATATATTTACACATATTTATACATGTGTGGCAATATTGTTTATATATAACCTCATCTATAACCTCCTATATTCATCACACACTAAGATGAATGACCTATGACCTACCTCCGAAGTAGGATCCATCCAAAAGCTTCATGCCAGTATTGCCTTTAGTGAGCACGCTGACTACACCGTGTTGGATGAAGTACATCTTCTTGCCGATGGTGCCCTCCCTGATGATGTAGTCTCCGGGCTGGAACACTTCGAACCTCAGCTTGGTCAACATGGCCGTCACAAAGTTGGGGTCAGCGTTAGCGAAGAGAGGCATGGAGGCCACCAGTTTACGGCAGTTAAAATTCACTATTTCCTAAAGATGGACAAGAGACAGTGCAGAACTAAAAGCAACAAGTCAAGAATGAATGATCTGTTGAGTTGTAATGTATATACAGGGTTTAGGTCAACACACTGTAAAAACATAAAGCATTATCGTGCATAGAGTAAACAGGCTTAGTGATAACAGGTTGAAGCCATTTGATTAAAAGGTTGTTAAGTCAACCTGCACAATATGTTACATATTAGTGGTCCATAATATGCTGAACAAGTCTAATTCCTCCTTTAATAAAGCTGAAGAGGCCGGTTTATTGCTCACTAGTACACAGAAGCTGTATGCGTGTGTATTTTTTGACCATATTAAAACACTGTTGCACAAATTATTAAAAGTTAAATCAACAAGATGAAATGGATAAGACAAAGTGTTCCTGCATGGTTTAATGGAAATGGCTAGCTTTCTTCAATGTCTCTTACCCTGAACTTACTCCAAACTTTAGTCAGGTATCGCCCCTCTGGTTAAATATGACTTAGTTTTTAGTTATCTAAAAGTTACATAATATCACTTTAAATAACTTGGAGTTGTCTTGCCTGGACTTAATACGCTGGTTATATACTGCACCTCTGTGTCCATACCTCTCTGAGCGGTTCGTTAAGCTCCTCCAAGATGCTCTCCTCATCAAACATCTTGCCCTGGTACCGGTGCTCGTAGTAGTCATGGATTTTCTGTCGGAAGTCCGCGGGCAGCTTGTGGAACGACATGTACTGCTCCACTTGTTTGTACTGAAACAAAAAGAAGAGGTCTGTGAAAACTGCAGCAGATATACTGGTCTTTTGTTTTTATTGTACCAGGAAAGCCATCGCAAAATGTCGTAAGCACTACAAAGAGCAATTTCACAGTACACTGCTCTAGTTCTGTCAGATACAAAGGGAGAAGAAGACAATTCCTGCTGTATATTGTTTCTCTACTAGTTCTAAGTGACATACAACACAAGATGGGAAAGGTTCTTGCTGAAAGACACAAAGGAAGAATATCTGCAACAAGAGTGAAGGTCCAAACTTCATCTAGTAGATGAGGTTTAACTGAGGAACCGTAAAACTTCATAAAACATGTCCAAGACTTCATAAAACATGTGCTCATAGCAACACTAGTGAAATCATCTGGTTTATGTAGATCTGTCTGTAAATAAAATTAAAATCTACTCTCAGTCTGGATTGAGGCACTTTAAGGTGCACTACGTAACTTTTGTGGCAGGATGATCACGTGCTTGTCTCCATAGAGATGTTATTTTTTTACTGAAATGTTCCACAGTATTACATTAAACATATGGTATGTTCAATAGCAGGAGTTGAATGTTTATTGCAAAACATCATTTTATTTTAGGCAAAGAAATAATGTCTTATTGGAGACAAGCAGGAAGCTGACCCTCCTTCAGGAAGTGACATAGTGAACCCTTTCCTATTCCAGAAATAAAATGGAGTAACCATCACTATATAATAAATAAATACCAAATGAAGCACAGTATAACTACAAAGGTCAATTCAAACCCAAGTGATTCACAGATCGTCTGCTGTTTCGACTATACGTCAGACAGAGACTGAATGTCCACTTCTCGTCTCATTACTTTAGCACATAGCACATTACATGCCTGGATTCACAATGGAAAGTGGCAGAACATATTCCTCCATAAAACAAGATTGGATGGACCCACTTCAATTGCCTGTATAGGTATAAGCTCTATGCAATTTCCCAACCCATGCACAGAACAGACTTTGGCCGTCATATAGGAGCTACAAAAAAATAGTCTTTTTATGTGGTTTCACGCGCCAGCACCTTTCTGTAAACATAAGAGTCACACATCAGCCTCAAGAGGAACACATCACATGATTTTTCTCTTTCAGCAAAAAGGCCAGCAACCTTCAGACAAGCTTTCACTTCCTGTTTGTGTTAGCTTTAAAAAGGTTAGCAAGGCATTGGCCCAAGCTCTGAATGCTTAATAATACATAGTGCAGGGAAAATGATAATGCAAATCTGGAGTTTGGGGGGTTGGGTAGTAGTTAAATTTACCAAAGCACTTTATTTGAGTAACTTTTTCATAAAACTGTACTTTCGGAGTTGTAAGATACTGCCACTTGAGTAATATATTTTACAATGTAACAGTACAACAGTGATTTGTCCTTTGAAAATACAATGTGTTATCTTAAAATTTCAATTGTGCATAATAACAAATTATAAATCAGCTGCTATGTCTAGTTATTCATACAATTATCCTCACAGTAATTAAGAAGCACTTTCCACATTTCTGTACTCGGACTTGCAAATCAACCGATCACTTCTGTTACATTATCATCAGTATTGTGTGAATGAATCAACCTTGGATTCAAAGAGAGGAACTGTGAGGTGTGGTTTGTGAAAAATGTACCTGACCCTGGAACTACATAATGACTGTACTTCCTTCCACTACGTGTTATAGCCATGAGTCATCTCTCTTAGGAATAAAACTGGACTGTCAATTGGACTAAGGGCTAGATCAGCATTTCAGTGACTTCCCCTAAGAAAATAATAAAAAAAAATTCACAGATGATTACACACTGGATGACTACACACTAAATATAAGTTACAAAATAGTCATTTAGAAAAGATTGGGGCCTGCGTCAGCAAATGTAGAAAAGGCCTGTCCAACTTGGAGTAGCAATGTCACCACAATTTAAATAAAGAGGGAAAAATATTCAACACAAAATAATACGTTTCTTATTATATATAGTGCAATCCCATTCTAAAACATTATAAAAAGGCCTAACATTGTCTGATTTATCTATATTTTTCAGTATTCCATCCATCCATTTTCTTCCTCATATCCGGGGCCGGGTCACGGGGGCAGCAGTCTAAGCAAGGACTCCTAGACTTCCTTCACCCCAGACACATCCTCCAGCTCCTCCGGGGGGACCTCAAGGTGTTCCCAGGCCAGCCAAGAGACATAGTTTCTCCAGTGTGTCCTGGGTCTTCCCCGGGGCCTCCTTCCGGTGCGACATGTCCGGAACACTTCTTGAGGGAGGCGCCCAGGAGGCATCTGGAACAGATGCCCAAGCCACCTCAACTGGCTCCTCTTGACGTTGAGGAGCAGCGGCTCTACTCCGAGCTCCTCCCATGTGACTGAGCTCCTCACCCTATCTGTAAGGGAGCGCACAGCCACCCAGCGGAGGAAACTCATTTCAAGCACTTGTATCCACGATCTCGTCCTTTTGGTCATTATCCAAAGCTCATGACCATAGGTGAGGGTAGGAACGAAGACTGACCGTTAAATCGAGACCTTTCGGTTCAGCTCCCTCTTCAACACAACGGTCCGATACAGCAACTGCATCACTGCCGACGCTGCACCGATCCACCTGTCAATCTCACGTTCCGTTCTCCCCTCACTCGTGAACAAGACCCCAAAATACTTGAACTCCTCCAGTTCAATTCAGTCCATTTTTCAGTATTAATCCTTAAAATGAGTTCTGATACTAGTTTAATTGATGAGTATATGGGTATCATTTTATGACAACTAGATTTTAGAAGTGTGACTAAAACATGACTAATGCCAAATGACAAACCCAAATCCCTCATTTCCTCGTCATTATCCACAACTGCTATTTAACAATGCATTTTACTCACTCCCACACAGTGATTAATAAAGATGTATCAAGTACAGTCTGTGCGGTACAAAACACATTGTGTGGTGACCATTTCAAATCTTTTCAACCTTTTCTATTAAACCAGATGGAGACGTGGGAAGTGATATTAATATGTGATACAAATATGCATATTGTTCTCAAATGTAAGATTAGGAAAGAAATGTGAAATGCTTTTAGGGTTTGAAAATAAAAAATGAATAAAAGTAATGCCATACTGTGGGACATCCTAGGATAAACAATACCATCGCCATGGAAACACACAGGTGACAGACCCGCCACTGCAAAAGTTATATAGTACACCGTTAAACACTGGCAAGTAAATTTATCATTGGGTTGACACAAATATATACAAAGTCCACTTCTAAATTAATTTTTTACATTGCAGGCAATAGTCACCATATCTGCATATATCAGTTCAACAAATACTCTGCTATTGTATCCCAAATACATTTTAAATATCAATATCCATTTAGACACTAAGGTATGACAGCAGTTGATTCAATATTGGAGAGTCTTCACCTGCTTGGTCCAGTACCCACCTTATATTTCATTATATAGAGTGGCAGTGCAATATTGTGTGGAGAATTTACACTGACACGCCCAGGCCTGGAGCGGCAGGGCATGTGTGCTGACCTTGAGTGTGACGTCCAATGACACATGAATGAGAAGGACATGGCTGTGGGAGATTACATTTAGTCACATGGAGAGGTGACAAGGAAGGAAATAAACAATAGGTCTGACCCCATCCGGTTAGCCAACATGGCAAATCACAAAACATTTAATACCTACAGGCGCTGCCATGGACAACAGTGATGCCTCCCACTCAGGATTTACAGACAGTGAAAACATTGCTCTAGAAAGAAGGGCACGATGAGATTTGTAAAGTATTAAAATCAATGCTTGCTTTTACTGTTTGTGTCAATTTTGAGATTTTGGTGCCTGCGAATAAGAAGTTTCTTAATAAAGTGACAACTCTCAAACTCTTATTTATATGTCGATACACAAAAAGTTCATTCAGCCCAGAGCACAAGAACTAGCTTGGGAAACATGTCAGTCAAGTTGATGGGAATGAAACTGATGGAATTATATGATTGCAAGTAAAAGTGGATATACAGAGATTTAGGAACAATTTATGGAAAATGTATTGTTAAGATTGATATTAGAAATTCATTTATGCAATTTCTTTCCAATGGGAGGCAATAAATAATTATGCTTGAACCACACCAATAACTTCTGTCAATAGAATAAACAAACAAACAAAAAACCATGTACTTTAAGGATAATTATAATGTGGTAGTCACTGCAATACCCAGATTGTGACCCAGATCCATAGTAAAATATATAATGTGTTTAACAGTATGTTCTACAGGAAAACAAGTGTCATTATTTTGACAATGAATCTTATTATGCGACAAAACCATAGCTCAACATGTTCATTAATTCCCGTCTGTTTGTGAATGTACAGATGGAGTCACCAGACGCTGGGACAATACTGCCGTTGTGCATTCACACTATAGATTGCACAATAGGGACACAGAGATTGGGTCTTCCATTAAAGGACTGTCACTCAAATGACTCAACACAGAGGCTCAGTGAAGGGGCGTTCCCCCAAAAACTCACAAGTCACAGATTTGGTCACTGCTCTTGCCACACAGCTCTTGCATTTGTCCCACCTTGCCCATGAACGTTAGTGAGTAATTGGTGGAGGTCAGAGGGGCTGTTGCTAGGCCTGTCACCATAATTACTATATTGACTTAGCGTTCAATATATGGCTGGAACGATATATTTTGAGGCTGAATATTTATCGTGGGTTTTTGTTATTTTTGTTATAATACAGAAAGGTTTGAACTGTAGAGGGCTGAATAAGTTACTTTTCTAGCTAATTATTGCTTCATTCTGTTGTTTATTTATTGCAGCTCAGTCCTTTTAATGATACCGTCTATTTAAAAGTGTTTTTATTGGAATTATATTACTTCATTTTAATTGTACCAAAATGTTTCAGTATTATCATTAAGCACAAACTGACTCTCACTTCTGTCAGCAGCAGCTTATCAACACTGAAAATACTGAATGAATATACAAGAATATAATGTATATGTCATTATTAT